TGCTTTCCAGTTGGTCAAATTTGTTTTTCATTTATTTTACTCAAGAATTTCTTGTTTTTTTTTTTTTTTTTTTTTTTTTTTTTTTTTTGGCGCGGGCACCTTCAACAACAACACACAAAAACGACTCCAGAGAGAATGCGAAAGAGAGCGAGAGAGAGAGGTAGATAAACACTCAAAAGGTTCACTGTTACCTGAAGTTGATGCACTCTGTTAATGTTTTGATTTTGTAAAGCTTTAAAACTCAATTAACAATACTATAAAAATAATTATTAGTTTTATTTCAAGACGCGTTGCCGCTGCCGCTGCCACTGCCGATCGACGTTGTCCAGAGCTGAGCGAGAACTGAGTGAAGCTGGCGGCGACGCGACGCGACGCTGCAACAAGCAACACTTGAAATACGAGAGGCAACAAAATAACTCAGCTTGCCACAACCACACACACACGCAATACACTGAGCGAAATAGTGAGTGAGATGAAGGCGAGATTGAGTGTATACATATGTATGTACATATAGGATTATCTGTAATGATGAACTATTTTATATCTATCTATATTGGTTTACATATTTATATATAAATATGTGTGCATGTATATAAATATATATTTTTCTTATCTGTAATATTTGTTATTGTAGTGCAATGTCCCAACAAGTGTCGCCAAGTAGCAGCAGCAGCAGCCTCTATTCATCCATATGATTGATGGAAAGTAAATGCATATTATTATTGATAAGACCAAAAGAGAATATGTATTTATACATACATACATTAAATTTATATAAATAAAAACCGCTTTAATTGCGCTGCGCTTATATAAAATCTTGTGAAAAATGAGGCAAAACGCAATTTTATAATTCGTTGATAAACATTTATATTTATACAACAAATATAATACACAGCTCTTTAAGTTTTTGATAAAATTAAAAAGAATCTTTTGGATTTAAAGCCAAACGCAAAAACTAAACAAATATTGTCCTTGAAGGCAAGATTCAAGAAAGCCCACAAAAAATATTCGATCTGGCGCTTAATGCTCTGCCAGCAAAGCCAAGCTGTACATTAGTTTAATTTACCTTATCATATCAAACAGCACAAAATAAAATCAACACCAACATAATAACTCAACACCTTTCTCTTCAATTGCAATTTCTTTTGCTATCGTTCCTATTTGAAAATCATATACAGAAGTCCAGCTAAGAAAGTTTTACTGCAGGCTGAGAGTACGCAATTGTGTAACAGCAGCAAGCAGATCCAGATCCACACATATATACGTATGCATGTGTGTGTATGTACTTGTGCGTGAAGGTATGTGTATGTGCATGTATGCGTGTTCATTACTCTCTATGCCATGCAGAGATAGAAAACAAGTTTTTGAGTGAGTTTTTGCTTGAGTGGGTCAGAATCAAGACAAATTCAGCGTCGCCGGCAGAGTGCAATGTGGACATTGTTTTGGTGATACAAGAAAAAAAACTTTTCAAGTGGTATTTGAAAGAGGCGAATGGTCTGCAGCCTGGCAATGAAAAGTAAATTAAAACATTTTTAAATAAAAAGAGAAGCAAACAAATAAATTGAAAATAACGCTGATCTTGTTGATATCATAAATACATATAGACAACAAATAAATGTATCTATGTATAAACGAATGTAAATGCATTGTACAGTAAACATATGCATGTGAGTATGTGTGTGTGCTGTATCGTTTGCTGTTAGAAGTCATAGATTGTACGGCAATAAGGCGGCGTTATAAATTCATACACACACATGTGCACACACACATAATTATGCGATGTGTATGTATTTTTTTATTTGCTTCTTTGTTTACTTTTCAGTTTCGTCTTTTAATACATATGTATGTACATATAAACATACATATTTATGTCCATTGCATTTGTGTGTTTGCATGGCTGCATATACATACATACATACATACGTATATATGTATGTATGTGTGTCTGCCTGTTTTCGAAGTATGTGTGCGTTTGACCAGTCGCCGGAGAGGCCAGAAGGCTGCAAGTTTACAGACAGCCAACAAGATTTGTTTGTTTATGTGCAGAGTTCGCGTTTTCCCAGCAAAGACCGTAAACAACTTGGATTTGGCTTTAAAATTCAGCTTACAGTATGTTGGTTTCATTCCTTTTTTTCTGTTTCTTGGTTCTTTTTCTGCGCATGAGCATTCACCTTCTACTGCTTATGCTAAAATATCCATTTTTCAGTCTCTCTCTACACTTGCGTTCTCCTTTTGGACATGCTCTCTTTGCTGCCCTGTTATGCTATGCTCTCACGCGCTCTTTGACTTCACTTGACTTGTCGTGCTCTCGCTCTGCATTTGTCTTACATATTTGCTGGGAAATTTCATCTCAATTATATGCTGATGTGTGTTGATATGTACCTTATTTTTGCCCGGATTTTTTTCCACAGGAATTTTCTTATGCCAGATTATTATGGGTGTGCGATAATTTATGAGATCTTTTAAGACGTTATTTACTTCTGCAATGAATGGCAATAACAACAATATGCATATGCATATGTATTCGTGCAAAAATGAAGTCTTTCTTTCTGCTGACACACACGTACATATGTGCACATATGCATGCGTACATGTATGTGTTTATATGTAGTCATCAATGACTTCTGACGCCATTGCTGATTACATTGTTAATGTGGGAAACGGGAACTTAATGAGCGTGTTTTAAACAAATATTCACATACATATGTATGTATGTATATATAAACTCATATCCATTCATACATACATACATATGTACATATGTATACGTATACTTGTAGCTTTTACCCCAAGCAAATTTACCAATCGTCTGTAAGATGACGCGCTTAAACATATGCGACATACGAACATTTTTTGCCGAGGCACAATCAAATTCAACTGCAACTTGATACCGACCCCACAGTTCATGCTGATATATGTATGTATATACATACGTATATATATTATGTTTTTTGATGACTCTGCTGTTTACTCAGTTCTTTATTCACACTTCTCTACTCTTGATTTAAATGCGGACGCTGTATGTTTCGCAGTTCCATATTCCATGTATATGTATGTATGCATGATAAACACGGAAGATATGAATGAACTACATACATACATACATATATATAAGCTTCAGTATACAGAAATTGAAATACATATATACAAATTATTCTCTAAATATATACAAACCTAACGAAAAATAATGTAACATTAAATTATAATTCAATTAGTTCTATTTAAGTATATGCATAATTTCTCTAAATGTGTCCTCCACAAAAAATCGTCAATTAACGTTGTTTATTAACCAGACACACCTATTTCCTAACGCCTGACGGTGTGACATTATGACTAAGCTGAAGTTCCTAACATCCCTCGAAGACGGCTTATGCATTTCAAAGCTTTTTATGATACAAACCAATTAAGAATGGTAAGTTAGAGTAACCTGGGGTAAATTCTTTCCGTTAGCAGCAGGAGAAATACTCGACCCTATAAGAAGAAGCTGAGCCAATTCAGGTTTTTAATTCTTATAAGATCATATGTGTATGTGTGTATGTAGGTAGACATATTTAAACTAGAATTATAATTAAATAAATTATATTATAATTTAATTATAAATATAGACTGAAAAGGCATTTGGTTTAGGTTAGAAAAAACTCTTCTAGATTTGGTTTTTATTTAAATCTTCATGTCAAGTTTTTTATTTATAATATTTGATGTAATTTCAGTTATTCTGTTTGTTTTCATTGTGTTATGTTATTTTTTATCTTTCATGGTATTCTGACCTTATGTATGTAAATACGTATGAATGCAAATGACTATATTGTATGTATATAATTTCTGATTTACTTGTTGGCTTGCCAAATAGAATGAAAATAATTTCAGTTAAACACATTGACATTAAATATTCATATATAAATGTTTCTTTTGTTTTCACATTATCCATATAGGTATGTATATTTCGTAACATTTACATAATTTTCATGTATACGAAAACACACCCTTATGTAAACACTCCTAGCAGATCATACAACTATGGTATGAAATGGGTTTAAAAATGTTTGGGTTTTCTTTTCAATTAGAACCGGACCTGATATACTTTTACAACTATTCGAATTATCAGTTCTAACTGATAAAAATGTTTTTGGTAAAATCATATATAAACGTTTTCTCATTCAGTTGAAATCATAAAATCGGTTGTTAGATGTTAAGATTTATAAACATTACTATTAGTCATATATAAAGTTAGGGTATATAATATGTAGGTTTTGTTTTAAAATACGCAATCGGCATTTAGAGCCATTGGCCTAGCTCATCACTCATCGATCATCGTTCGTTCATATTACTCATTATTCATTATCTCTTGTAATACTATTGTATTACTCTTTACAATATTTACACTAAGTGTTTTTTTTTTCCTTTCTTTTTTGTGTTTTATTAAATGTTTTGCATTTTAATTGTATGCCTAAATGTTTTACTTATATCATTTCATACTTTCACTTTCATTCTGTTCTCTTTTTTAAGTGAGATCAAATGGAGAAGCTGATATTTTCAGACGAACATTTTACATCATTACATCAATTATATGTTTGAATAACTTTTTGTTTTTGTTTCGTTTAGTTAAGTATGAGGGAGGTTTTTAATTAATGTGTTATGTAAAGTTATTTGTTAATGTATAACTCGGCTAATGCTTTATAAGAATTGTCAGACAATCTGCCGGATTACTAAGTGTATCCTATTATCCTCCGGTTCAGTCATATTAGTTTTTCATTTTAACTTGGATAAAACTTGAATGAACTAAATTTCTTTGATTTTTTGGTTTCTTTGGTTCCACATAATACTTGTAATTAATTATTTTTTTCTTCAAACTCTATTTTTGTTTTAAGTATTGATTTTATGTTTTTTTTTTTTTTCTTTGTAAAACAAATCTACAAATTTTAATTATGTATTCAAATATAATGTTTACGGTTATGTAGGTTTATTTTTTTACGGTTTTATTTAGAGTTCATATATATATATTTGATAAACGAGAGTTTCTGGGAAATAATCTTATATTTGACTTTAAAAAATCCGTAAAATACGCTACCAGAGTTTATTTAAACGCGTCCTTTTCGAGCAGCTATATAATATGGGATAAGAAGCCAAAAAATAAAGAGTTTTTAAGAATTGTTAGATTAAATATAAGAAATAGTCTATATATACAAGATCTGTTCAAAGAGCAACGCGACTTTTTTTCCCTTTTTCTTGAAAATGAATATCTTTGTCCCCGTTCACATTTTCAAGAACTTATGTAGCAATATCAAATCAGACCTCGCATATATATATTCAAATATATATGGAGAAAAAAAATTTTTATACTCATTCATTAACGTTTGAGTCGTAAAAGAGTATTTTTTAGTCGGTAACGTCCGACTACGATACTTTTACTTATTGGTTTACTAACCTTTGTCCTTATTCTTGCGCTGCTCCTTGGCACTCTTATCCTTGGACTTGCCGGGCTTGCAGTTCTTCTTGATTATACGTGTTGACTCGCATGATGGATCGCTCGTGGCCTTCAATTTATCAGCTCTGGTCATTTGGCCTGTGACACACTCCGACCAGGAACCTTTCTCATATCGACACGCTGCAAAAGAAACGGATTTTTAACAATATTTTAGAGAACATTTTCCAATTTGAATCAAAGCGAAAGTATATCAAATCAAATTAGAACAATAGATTTGTAGTTTTTCCCAACTGTCTAATCTATAGGTCAAATGATATCTAAAAACTTTGATTGTATTCAAATTTTGGATATCAATATTTACCTTTTTTGCACTTCTTTTGAATGGTGCGAGTTTGATCGCAAGCCGGATCACCCTTTTTCAATGTCAGAGTTCGTGAACGCGTATTGGTCTTGGTATCACATTCGGTCCAGGGATTTTTGCCATAGCGACAAGAGAGTCCTGTAATCGAATACAAATAGTAAATATTCCATTTAATTACTAATTAATAAGTCAACTTACCATCGCTCTTGGTGCCGCGCTCATTGCGTATTAACACCTCGTGATCGTCCTCCTCCCAGATCTCACCTTGTGTCGCCGCTGTCGGCTTGGTGAACTCGGCCACGGGCAGAGCCAGTGGCGTCTCCTGTAGCTCTGTGGTGCCATTCACTAAAATTGGCAGTAAGGTTGACCATGTTAAGATCATGGCCAGCAGGAGCCCTTTATAATTGTGACTCATTGTACGTTTGTTGATTGCCTGCAAATATAGTTCATTTTTGGGTTGTTAATAAAACAAAAGCGATTTGAAAATTTTAAAAATTTAAAACTAATATCAATAATAGGAAAAAGTTTAAAGACAGTGAAAAATAATTAATTAATTTTTTAAAATTAATTTAATGTTAATGAAAGAAAATTAATATTTATTAAACAATATATTATACATATATATAATTAATTTATTTATTAAAAAAATAATTAATATTAGTATTTAAAAAAAAGTAAACTAAACAATATATTAAAATAATTTCAAAATACTCAAATCTACAAAATAAGATTTTAAAAACATTATAAAAAAACATTAAAAATAAATTAATAATATATTAATTAATAAATTTTTAAAATTGTGTTTAACATGTTTAAGTCATATAAAATTTTAAATACTTTCTTATAATATTCGAAGTTAGGTGTATATATATCTGAAACTGAGGTGATTGAAGTCCAGGTACATATGCAAACTATATAAAAAAAAAAAAGTATATTTTTAATCAAAAATAAAAAAAATAAAAAAATATAGTATGCCCCCACTTCTTAAAGCTGGGCTGGGGCTCGTTTTAATTAAATTAATAAAAACGACAGACAAGCTTTTCATTTTTCGCTTACTCTGTGCAAACAAAGCGTCCTCAAAAATGCTCAACTAAGTGTGTAGTGACGCAATACGTTCTATAGAGATGTGATAAACCCAGACACTGCCACCGAGGAACTCTGGAAAAGCACAAATTTTTGGAATAACTCACGCCAATAGGTTTAAACTTTGCTTAAATATGCACAAAAATATGAAATCTTGAAGATTTTCGTTTTCAGATTTTTTTCAGCTTTGAATTTATTTTTTTTTGTAGTCGCTAACTGCGTAGCACAATTGATGAACTAACCGTTATACACACACAAAATGTTCCACCACCTCTGAAACGGTGATTGTGACTGTGGATGAAGCTGAGCACCGTTATAGACCAGAGGAGTATCACTTCGGCACAAATTTTTCCTGAACTGCTGTCGTTGCGCGTCTCTTTAAAACTGAATGGCCAAAATATGCGAAAAGCTGCAAAAAGCCCCAGTCGGAGTATCCTGAAGGATGTTATGCTCTCATCTACATGCGATACACACACACACACACACACACACACGTACTCTCTTTCTATCTACCATGCTCTTGCCCTGCCTCGCACTCTGTCTCTCTCTCTCTCACGCTCTCTCTTTCTCTTGCTGCTTTTATCATAATAAAGCTGCGCATGTTCCAAAAATAGACGCCACACACAGCTGCAGTCGGTTCGCTTCCTGTTTGAAGATGTTGCCTTTTGTTGCAGCTTTAAGCAGAATTTCCCTGTTGAAAATAAACTTAGCCAAAAATCTTCTTATCATTAACAAGAGATTAGGGAGACAGGGCGTAAAGGAGAATGGGCTTTTAATCAACTTTATGATGTGTATAAGGAACATAAAGAACATATTCATTTTGCTTAGAAAACTCATGTGTTCCATGAGTCTATTGTTGTTGAATTTGATAATGGATAAGCAAAGTTCTATTCCAGCATCCCTTCTAATACTTTACATATATTAACTGGGTATTGAGTGGGCTGATAGAATAATATGCTAGCAAGTTAAGAATTCAATAGAATAATAGACTGGATTATAATCTACACACTGATAGATATAGATAGACAGATAGATAGATAGATAGGTCGCAATAGATTTTAATGTTTTTAGTCAGTCTGAATCTAAACTTAACTTTGCAATCAAAAGAGGGAAGAAAGGCGGACACTTCACAAAGGAAAAAATAAAGTCTATTCAAACAAAGTAGAATATCTAACTAAAGCTCGAAAAAAATATATCCTTAAAAAAAAAAACTTACATGTGAATCGAGCTATCAATCAATTAAACAATATCTAATTGAATCTTTGATAACTTACTTGCATCGCGAGATATTACGACTCGTAATATTATTAATTATTGATAATAAATATAAACTCTCAAAATCATCTAGATAGACGAGGCTGAACTCCCTGCACATATGCGTACTTAATATACCATATATCCATATATAATATACCCACAAATTGTCTGTACCATGGCCATTGAGTACAAACGCGCCGAGGCTATTGAGACCAACAGCTGTCATAAAATTTAATAATGCAAATGTAATTTAGTCGCACGGTCAGTCCAGGCACAGGTCGAAAGTTCCAATGAAATATTGAAGCACTCATGAGCAACGCAGTTTAAAGGGCAAAACCAAAAGCCACAACTCAGAGCGAAATACTCCCCATTTACCGAGCCCGACCCATCTGATGGGTGATTATGTTGCTTACCTGAAAGTCTGTCTGATTTACATATGAAAGTTATTTGGATAAGCTTTATAGAGATATATTTGGTTAAATAGGCTCATCTTTCATTTGATGTGCATTTTGATGGAATAAATTCAATAAATTTCCATAATAAAATTTAAAAAACAAATATAAAAATTAGTTAAAATAATAAATTCATATTCTTAAAAGATTAAAAACAAATTTTTAGAATTGTTTCCTTTATCAGAACTAGTTAAGCGCATAAAACTGCAACAAAATACTAAAATAATAAATATACTAAATACTGCTAAGTTTGCAGTCAATCTAGGGGTGTACGAGAATACCTCTCATTATTTGTATAAAAATGGTTAAAGTCTTCAGCTCCCAGATCAAGAACTTCTATACACTTCTATTTAACAAATTTAAAAAATGTAATCCATTGAACATAAATATATAAACGGAAACTTAATTAAATTAAATGATATAAATTCACCTAGCTGTAAAATACTTTTTATATATACATAAAATTTGACCACAATCAGCTAGAAGCCCATAGCCATATAGCCCACTCTAAATGCAAACTGCTGCAACCCATTTGGGCCAGTTGTGCAGCGTTGGTGTTGGTATTGGTACTGGTATTGGTGTTGGTGTTGGCCAACGGATGCAGTCAAGCAGCAGATCACGTGCCTGGAATTCATTTGTAATTTGTAATGTCTATAAAGACACAGCATGTGCGCTTCCCTCCTAATTGTGCGAGTGTAAAACAGTGCACATCAGTGCACAATTGGGTCAGAGGTCCGAAATGGACATCTCCCATTTTAAACCACTCAACTTTTTCGATTTATATGAACATTTATATGCCTTCCTGATGAAATAGGAAGAGAGTATATGGGTTTTGGGCAATGTGAGCCGACTAGAGTTCGGAAGTTTATCATTGACGCTTATAGAGTTTTTAGAGTTGTGCCCACTGTTAAATGGGGTTTACTTTATCTAGAGATTTGGAATTTTGGAACTAGTATGCATAAAAGTATATGTATATCTCCGCCCATGCAGGGCGTGGCACATTGAATAAAACTATATCTATATCCTGAAATCTTAATCAAGGATCCCTAATTACAGATCTACAGATAGATCCATAAATTGAGTCAATTTTTGTAACATGAACAAGTATTATGCAATCATGTACGCCCACTGCACGTTTACTACACTTGACGTGTATTTATAATAAAGATGAAATGATAAATACAATCGACAATAAACACGAAAGGCAAATCTCGTGCATCTCGTGGGAGTAATTTGAAATATTTGTTTATTGCTTACACTTGAACCTTTTTCTGCTGGTTTAGCCAAATGGATTCTGGCTAATATTGCACACATGATATGTGTATACGCCGTACGCCATACGCCGTACGCTGTTCACTGTCCGCTGACCCATATAAGTCCCCAGCCACCCCCACACTTTCACAACCGCAAAAACAAGTCGATATCGGTGCGCGCATATCAGCAAATTCCGAATAGTAACAAGAGGAAAGCGTGAAGCGATGCTGCTAAGAGATGCCCTGGAATGATGAGAATGATGTGTACAGGTGTAAATTCATCTGGAAATTATATAGCAAGTTTGGAGTATATATAATATAATTGCTGATAATGAAGACCGACGCTCTCTCTTACTCTCTTTCTCCCTCTCTCTCTTTCACATTTCCAGGGTATAAGCAGTCAACTACTTCACACGAATTGAGCTGGATCTAGATGGGCTTCGGTTGGACTGTGCCAATATTTTTTACCCTTCTCCGTGTGCGTGGCATTCATTTGTGCTGCCTATCCTTGTGGCTCGGCTGTTGTTGTAGGTTATTGCTGTTGCTATTGACTTGTGCGCGCAATAATATTTTCATATATTGCCCACTGAAAGATTAAACCACAAAATATTGGGTAGTCTAAAAAGTTTTTTCGTATTTTGCCAATAGATGTCGTTGGCGTCGTATATCTCCAGTGCTACCAATCACATTGTGTACACGTTGTGGTGTTCGATTGGTAGCACTTTAAGCTTCGATTGCCAAAAAAAAAAAATGTAATTCAAAGAATTTGAAAAAAGTTACAGCTGTTCAAAAATGAGTGAAAATAAAGAAGAAATTCGCTATATTTTGAAATTTTTGTATAAAAAAGGGAAGAATGCCACGCAAGCCACTAATGAAATTTGTGATGTTTACGGTGACGATGCTCTATCAGTTCGTGTAGCACAACAATGGTTCGGACGCTTCCGTTCAGGAAATTTCGATGTGAAAGATGCACCTCGCTCTGGTCGACCAATCTTTGAAAAAGTCGATGAAATTATGGAAAGGATTGACCAAGACCGTCACATAAGCAGCCATGACATCGCAAATGAACTAAACATTCATCATCAAACGGTTCTGAACCATTTAGAAAAGGCTGGCTACAAAAAAAGCTCGATGTATGGATACCACATGAATTGTCTGTGAAAAATTTATTGGACAGAATTAACATTTGCGATTCTTTGCTGAAACGAAATGAAATCGAACCATTTCTGAAGAGAATGGTAACAGGAGACGAAAAATGGATCAAATACGACAATAATGTGCGAAAAAGATCATGGTGCAAGAGTGGTGAAGCTCAACAAATGGTCGCAAAGCCAGGATTGACGGCTCGAAAGGTAATGCTGTGTGTTTGGTGGGATTGGAAAGGAATAATCCACTATGAGCTGCTTCAGCCTGGTCAAACGATTGATTCGACACTTTACTGTGGACAACTGATGAGATTGAAGCAAGCAATCGAAAAAAAACGGCCAGAACTGATCAACAGAAAGGGCATCGTATTCCATCAGGACAACGCCAGACCACACACATCTTTGATGACCCGGCAAACACTGAGAGAGCTTGGCTGGGAAGTTTTAATGCATCCACCATATAGCCCTGACCTTGCACCTTCGGACTACCATTTATTTCGGTCAATGCAGAACTCCCTTAACGGAGTAAAGTTGGCTTCAAGAGAAGCCTGTGAAAATCACTTGAAGCAGTTTTTCAAAGAGAAACCACGAAAGTTTTACACGAATGGAATTATGTCTCTAGTGGAAAAATGGCAAAAGGTGGTCGACCAAAATGGTGCATATTTGATTTAATAAAGTTTATTATAAATATTTAAAAATATGATTTGAAGTTTCATTACAAATACGAAAAGACTTTTTAGACTACCCAATATATTGCTTCTTATAGCTGGTTCATATGTGTAGCGTAGCCATTTTTTATTGCTACTAAGGCTATTTATAGCTAAAATGAAGTCTTAAAATACCAGAAATTGCATTTTAAAGTACATTATTATTAATCCCATTAGCGTTAGAAATAATATTTAACGTGACTTGAATAGGAAAGTATATCAGACATCAAGTACTTTCAGTAAAAGAAGCACGTGTTTATAGGTAGAATGCCGACCAAGAAATACCCTAAGCATCTGCTTTTAAAGATTCTTAAAATATGAGCATGATAAAATCAATAGATATTTATATATTCAAGGAAACCTTAAAATTTTCTACTTGGCTGAATTTAAGATTTGCCTTCGTCAAATTTCGAGCTCGTCTGCTCAGTCACATAAGTTCATAGAAAGCCCAGGAGCTCCTACCCAAATGCTTAACTAAATGTATATTTGACGAAACATTAGTCTTTCTACTTGAAGAATGAAGAACATGCCCGTTTCGTCAAGGTTCGAGCCCGAATATGCTCAGTCATAAGTAAATGCTGTGACAGCACATTTAAGCTTTCTTCAGTCCCGGCACCTATACGTAATAAGCCCGTAATAATAAATAGAAACCTAACAGTAACAGTACTGCAAATATAAATGTCAGCTGAAGTTGTTGTTGTCAATTACTCAACAATCAATAAATAATAACCGAAACATTAAAATCTCTTTTCTACTTGAACAATTATAAAGTCTTTCCCTCGTCAAGATTCGAACCTGCATCTGCTCGGTCATGTGCAAATTGCGTAAATTGCTTTGACAGCACTTCGACTCGCGCCTCAACCAACTGCGCCAAGCAGCAATCCCAAACAAAAGTGCCAAATGCACAACTAAGCTGCCAGGCTGACAAATCAAATACAATTCAATTGCTTATGCTATTTATAGCAAGCCAATAGGCATGCACGCCTTTGTATGTATGTATGTATGTGTTTATCTGTTTGAGTGAGAGAGAAAATACTTGGGCATGACGCTAATAAGCCACGTGGCATTGCCAATTAATTGACCACACGTTTTCTTTAATAACTTCTGCATTTCTTAACGGATCGCAATGAAACTGGCAGCGAATTAAACTTAATAATTCATTTAATTTTTTAAAAATAAATATTTAAGAAAGCATTATCTTTATATGCAACTAAACTTTTAGTTATTATAGGCAACTGCTATTGAAAATATTTACAAAAAAAATAAAATAAAATAAAATAAATTTAAAAAAAATTTTATTTAATAAATAAAAAAAAACCTAATGGAAAATTTGGTTAGCCCAGCTGCAAAGATGTGCAAATAACTGATGCTCTATATTGATTTCACACGTTGATATACCGAATTGTTAGGTATGTAAATCATATGTTTATATTTATATACATATATATATATGTGTTATGTCTCTATTGTTTTACATTCAATGCTGCAAGTGTATGTAAGTACGTCTGTTCAACTTTTTCGCAGAGACAAATACATACATACATACATAGGGACGCTGGCAAAACACACATAAGCAGGAAATGCAGTCAGCTTGCCGTTTGTGGGCACACAAATACATACTTGAGTATGTTGCAAGTGTCATTAAGTGATATAAGTCTTATTATACACCTGTATGTGTATTGGATATGTAGATTTAGATTGTAGAAATTTCAAGCTTTTATGACGTGACAAATATGTGAATGAATCATAGGTCTGACTCTTATTTGATCAGCCGGGTTTTCTATATATTTTACGCAGGTATATTAAATATGCAAATTTAGATTATAGAATTATCAAGCTCATAACTAGTTTAATATATGTATTCCATCACATGTGAGCAATATGTGAATGAATCAAAACTCTGACTATTATTCAATCGGCCGGTTTTTCTGACCTATGAAGTTCAGGAATAAATTTAAATAATTGGAATAGCCAGCTTTAACTAGTTTAAAACCTTTGATGACATGTAACAAATATGTGAATGAAATGGGAAGCTAAACTCAGACTATTAGCGGACCGGCCTAGTGTCCGGCATTTTTGATTTGACCTATAAAGTTCACGAGCTCAGCTCGCAAATATGGTTTAGCTGCACGCAACGCTTCCGCTAGGCAACACTTCCGATTCAGCTGGAAACGGTGTTCCAGTTAGATGAGCAACGGCATCGGAATTCATTGGGGTTTTATTTTATTTTTTTGCCGGCAATAGCGGGATAAACAATAGCGCGCACTGCGATTGTGCCCAATGTTTATCATTGTGTCGGTGAGCAACAATAACAATAACAATGCGCCACAATCGACGCGTTGTCATGACAATCGCTGGGCCCAGCCAGATGGGGGGCTTCAGCTGCTCGAATAGAGTACAGAGACATCAGAGCGAGAGCGCACAGTAGCGCTCAAGCTTCCCAGTGATTATCAGTTCTCAACACGAAACACATGGAGCATTATCGTTCACTCAGACGAAAGTATATAACCAAATTTATGTGCCAATAGGTGAGTTGACTTTGGTTCCACTTCAATTGCAAAAACAAGCTAAAATAGTATTATATTCATCTAGCTCAGAGAAAAGCGTGACTCATTCTGCGAAAGTGCTAAAAACCTTTTAGCATGCCTTCGTTCCGCATCTTATCCAAATTATCGTTGCTTCTTCTACTGGTCATCTGTGTGGCATCTGTGTTCTGCGTCTTCTCTCTGCCGGTCTTCGAGTACTCGAGCAGTCGCTGCAAGGGCCTGGACGACTGTGATCCCTTCCAGCCCATTTGTGCCACATATACGAATGAGCATCAGTTCTTCTACAGTCACTGCGATATGTTGCGCGAGATCTGTCTAACTGGCAAAGGTAGTGAATTATATTTAGTTATATAGATTTAATATTTATATTATTCTACTTATATAATCTATAGATTGGAAAATTGACTTTTTGAGCCATTGCAATGTTAGCAAGCTTTAACTATACCACAGCCGACTGATTGCTTGTTAGCCACGTTCTTCAAGACTGATATATCTACATATGTATAATAAATGGAAAAGTATGAAATATATTTATTTAAATATAAATATTTACGAATTCGTAATGACTGCAACATATCATGTATGTGATTATCTGTTGGCAAGGCCGACTCGGTGTCATATTATGAGCTTTACAATTAGCACGTATACATATTTACATATGTATGTTTATGTGAAGATAGCTTCATGGTCTTCTGTTATTTAGGACCCATCTTTGTCAATAAACAAGAATGCAGAGCCTAAAGCTTTCAATTGGCTCAAATATTACAGCAAATCCAGGCACATAACTTGCGCATTTCAGTAAAAGTGAGAGAGAAAATAAGTACTTCAGTTGGGAGTGCCTGACTAGAATATAGAGCTGTTAGTTCAATAATTTTAAGCATCTTTTTAAATTTAAGGCAAACAAATCCATTTTCTAGCCGTAAAAGTTAGAATATGATTTAAAAATTATGAAGAGAATAGCATAAAAGTATCAAGCCTTCTATAGCCTGTTACAAACATTGTGATAAAATCATTATACCCTCATTTACCATCATCAATGGGTATACGAAGCAAAGTATTCATACAATCTATGTGTGCTCCTAGCGAAATACAATATATGCAAACATACGTATATATTTAGGCAACAGATTCAATAATATTTATATCTTGGAAATTATTTTTTAATTAATTTAGAGTTGCAGCTAGCCAGAACTTCGTGCTATGCTTTACTGCAACTCTGCTGTAAAGATATAATTCAATTAAATTCTCCTAACTCATTTTCCATTTTTAATTCCAATTTTCTATTTTCCTTCAAGAGTTGACATAAGTAATTACGCCTATTCCATTCTGATAGGCTACTCAGTTGGGTTTGTAATAAATTATAAAAGCTACAAAGCTTTCATACGTGTTTTATCAGCGTCGAGCTGCAGATAAAGACACGCGCACACACACCGATGCAGCAACTGTAGGCGTTTGGCCCATCCTTTTTAATAATTATGTATAAAAATATACACATACATATATATGTACACAAGTGTAAGTAAATACATGTATATATTTACATATATATTTAGTGCGCGAGATTACTTTAAAGGGATGGTCAAATTAGAGCTTTATCAAGCTTTGCGCTCTCGCCCGGCATCCTCTCTACTTTCTCTCACTCTCTCTCTCTCTCTGTCTGTCTCTCTCACTGTCTTCAACACACATGTAAATACCACCCGTTTAACATCTCTGTATATTATAAATTAGCTTAGAAAAATGTATTACATCAACAGATTTACAATAGTTAACTATGCTTTGGGCGCTTCCTCGGCTTGCTTTGACTGCTCGGTTTGTGTTTCCGTTACAGGTGCTTGTGCAGGTGTTGCAGTTGTTGATGCTGTTGCATTCTCAGTCTCAGCAGCCAGTTTGTTAGCCAAGTTTGCTAACTTTTCACGTCGAAATTCCTTGCGCGCCTCGTCCAGCAGTACATTGTGCAATAAATTACGATTCTGGCTGTTATCTGGTGTAAGTACGGGATAAGGATTTCCACGTAGCTCCAGCACTGATTTTCTATAGTACATTCCCGGATAATCGCGTGGCGCCTTGAACATGCGTGTGTAGGAAACGTTGGAGTTCTCGTAGCGCGGCACTAAAACCTTAAAGAGTTTATGTACAAGTTGTTTCTCCAGCAGCCAGTAGTCCGCCAGCTCCATGGTTGCTTTGTGTCGATCGCCATGGCGTATAGCATTTGAAATGAGCTGAAAGAATTTATAAATTAGCAGCACTTCAACATTACTTGCCTCAAATTTGACACTCACCAATTCAGCATATCCACGCGCTTCATCTGCCCGATTGTAATACAATTCAATGCGCTCATGTTTGACCAACGCCGTCACGGTTTTTCGCAGCTTCAGTAGACGGCCTTCTGGGCCATCAGGGTTCTTTAAGTTACGTTTAGTTGGCCGCACAGCGATTCTCAGCTGTGACATTAGTTTGCTGACATCGGCTTGATTCATTTTTAAACCAAATTTCAATTCACTAAATCTGGATTCACGTAATGATGGTCAATCAGCTGAGAGTACAGAAGATGTTTAATGTTATTAACAGCACACATTCGATTATTATTAAAATATCCCCGATACTTGGTTTTGAATCGGGAATAATGAAATAAAAATAAATCCTATTTATAACCAATCATTAAATAACATACACTATAGCTAATGTTGCATACTAACTGAAAATTATTTATAAATAATTCATTCATAATCAATTATGAAATTGTAGCCGGCAACTTAACATAACCAATCGAGCAGCTGGCAAAGTCATCTATCGATTAGTTTGTAACGATTAGAAAAAAATTGAAAAGCGTCAAATGTAGCTCCTTCAGAAAAATATAATCTTTTCAATAATATTTATCTATGTTTTATTTAAGCATCTATTATTTATACCTTAAGTTATGTGCTGCAGAATGCCCTGACGTACCAGCGGTTCCACTTGTGCGCGAGGTAAGTAATGCTGACTGTTTTTCCTTAAATGTACAACCTCGCCGTCATCCAGTTCAAACTTGCCATAATTCTCCACGCATCGCACCTCAATATATAGGGATTTCGGTGGACGTAAGTTGCCAGTTAAGTCGATGCCTTGCCCATCGCCAACGGAACGCATATATGCTGCCAGAGACTTCGAGTAGTTATTGAAGAACTGCACTTCTGGCTCACAAAGTGCCGGCTTTATATCATTGGGTATAATTGGCCCGAACTCCCAACGCATGGCTTTGATACGCTGCATTCGCTCATATAGGTAAGCCAGAAGACAACGCTTATTTCGCTGAAGTGCCGCATGCCTGTAGTTGAGTAAGGGCCACAAACTACGATCTGCAGAACTGTTGTAATTGGACGCTTGTGCCACATTCTCCTCAAAAATTGCCTTTATCTCCTCCAGCACCTGTCGTACGCCGTCATCGTCGAAGGCTGGTATAGTCTGTGACGATCGCTGAAGATCCTTTAATAAATTAAAGGCATTATCACCAAACATTCTGTTTGAACGGCTCATCTTTGTTGATTGGTAGAATACATAAAAAATGTTCCCGCTTTATTATGGTCAACGCAACTAGTGATGGCATTTAGCGAAGGTATTCATATAATCTGGGCACATTATTTTGTTATTGGTCGGCAAATTAACAAAGTAACATTTTAATTATGACTTATAAATACATAAATATATTTGAATACATACGTATACATGCATATAAACATTTAATAAACTTTGAACACTTAACTGAGCGCATCCAGTATATTGGACAAGAAACTCATTTCCCTATTGGTATTTTCGTCAATAAGAGTGTATTTCGGACTTTTAGCGATTTGGTCACACGGCTTGCTGAGCAGTGAAAATTCTGAGGTGATTGTATTGTGTGGTGTGTTCATACTCAATTAACTTAATTAAGTTAAAAACAGTGTTAGGTGCACTTTAAATCAACTTGAGGAATTCAACCCGCTTACTAAAACAGCAACGTATAACGGTCCGCCGGTAAAAACCGCACGCGTACGGAAATATGGCAACTGCAGCTAACACGACAGCTGGACCAGCGAAAGACGGTGCGCCTGCACCAAATGCACCAGCGCCTCCAAAGACTTTAAACGGCATTGTGAAACAAGTAAGTGTAGTTTTTAAGTGCTTTTAAATCTGTGTACTATTTTAATGCAAACTCATTCACATGGAATAAGTAAATCGCATCTAACTAATAAAAAATCTGTGATTATCAGCGTGGCAAATACGGCAAATGCCACTGAAGCATGTGCGAAAGAGATGCTCATATATGCGAGCTGCGTGAGAGTGACACGTCGCACACGCTTACACACGCACACAATGGCTGAATAGCATAACGCAAAGAAACGAAAGTTATCGAAGGTGCCAACCTGGCAGATTTTCTTGTTCAGCTGCGGCTATAAAATGTATTGAGTACAAATTCATTTACATATAATGTTGGCATACGCATTTCGGGCATACTGTTGCCAGTGCCACAATTTATACTGTCGACGTCATCAGTCAGCAGCGACTTGCCGGCGTTTTGAAACATGCGTTTTTATCTGATAAACACACATCCATACATACATAGGTTGAAATATACTTGTCGTGCGGTACGGTTAATACAAAACTATTCGTTTCTAACCTCAAAGAGCGCTTGCACAGGCGCAAAATGTATGCACATACATCTATAGATATGTATATATTGCTTACATACATACAATCTATGTATGTAATTTTGTATATAAGAAGTAAGAACTTCCACAATTGTTATTGTGCCGTCAGTATTTAATTTTATTTTTGAGTGCAATGTAAGCCAGCTTATTTTAAATGCTATGCATTCATGAATATGTATGTGTATAATCTAGCAAAATAGGCACATGGCAGCTGCTAAAGCTGGTTATCAACAGTTATCAATTGCAATTAATAAAAATCGACCTCACAAGTGATGACGTTGCAAACACTTCTGGCAATAGAGCTAACTGTTTTTCTTTTACGTTGGTCCCCTCTCCAATGCCGCGTCATCATTCCAATTCGAATTCTGTGTTACAGCGTTTGGGTGAAAGACCTGTTGATATCTAAAATGCACCAAAGCCCAGTGTATTGCAACACCTGTTTGTCAGCTTAATGCACGTAGATGAATAGGCCACAAAATTTGTTGTTTTATGTGTAAGTTTATTTGAATTTTAGTACATAATAATAATAATTAGTTTCATTCATAAGTTAACTATAAAATACAATTTATATATTTGTATACTGTGAAAGACTGCACAAAATCTACAATAGGTAAAACAACTTGATATAGAAACTTGATTACAGAAGTATTTAAAGATGACCAACTGTTTAAATTATATAGAAATAGGAAAATTAGGATAATATCTAAAGTACTTTCGCTCAATTTACTGTACATAACTAAGCATTATCATGGTAATTAATAAAAACAGCACTAAAATAGATTACAGAAGTATTTAAAAATGACAAGCCGTTAAAATTGTATTTAAATATGAAAACTACGCCAAAATAGGAAAACAAAATGCTATTTTTAAGCGATCATCTTTAATATTTTAATACTTCTATGCATATGAATGAGCATTATCACACGTTCATGGTATGGTCACACCAATGTGGTGCAGCCCTTTAAGAGACCACTTGAGCGCCACCTATCGACACATTTGCTCTGAAAAACACGTGCTTACATTTACTTTGGTTGCAAGATTGATTTCATTTTAACCTCATTGCTTGTGTGTGGCGGACGTATATTTCAGGTGCTCTCTGGCGACACGGTTGTTATTCGCGCCACCAAGGGTGCCCCGCCACCAGAGAAACAAATCACTTTCTCTCATGTCCTCGCCCCGAAACTGGCTCGCCGGCCTGGCGCTGGCGGCGATGAGACTAAGGACGAGCCCTGGGCCTGGGAGTCACGCGAATTTCTGCGCAAGAAGCTGATCGGCGTCGAAGTGACTTTCACCTATGACAAACCCGCGAACTCCAACCGTGAATACGGTTTCGTCTGGGTGGGCAAGGACAAGGAAACCGGTGAGAACGTCGTTGAGTCCATTGTGCGGGAGGGTCTCGTAACGGTACGTCGGGAGGGACGTCCTACGCCCGAGCAGCAGACGCTCATCGAACTGGAGGATCAGGCGCGTGCTGCCAACCGTGGCAAATGGGCGCACAACGTCAACCCCGCCGATAAAGTCCGGAACATTAAGTGGTCGCATGAGAATCCAGCGCACATCGTCGATATCTATGGTGGAAAGCCTGTCAAGGCCATCATCGAGCATGTGCGCGATGGCTCCACTGTGCGTGCCTTTTTACTGCCCGATTTCCACTACATTACGCTGATGATTGCGGGTATTCGCTGTCCTGGCGTTAAGCTGGATGCCGATGGCAAACCCGACCTGAGCGTGAAGGTACCCTTTGCGGATGAGGCACGGTATTACGTTGAGACCCGACTGCTGCAGCGTGATGTCGAGATCAGGCTAGAATCTGTCAACAATTCCAACTTTATTGGCACGATTCTGTACCCCAAGGGCAACATTGCTGAGTCGCTGCTACGCGAGGGCTTGGCCAAGTGTGTGGACTGGTCCATGGCCGTCATGAAGACAGGTGAGTTTAGAGAAATGTATTCCATTGGCAACTGACTTGAAGTACATAGTGCCCTTTCGGCCAATGCCTTGTGCTGCACTATGTATGCTCAACTGTCAATTGCCAGATGAAACTGACGGATTCCAAGAATACAGTGACTGCATTTTTGTCACTGCGTTCATTTCACCCCGTCTACATATATTTAAAAATAATATAAATCCAGTATAAAATACTAATGATACCCTAATTATAGGCGCTGATAAATTGCGTGCCGCTGAACGCGTTGCAAAGGAGAAACGTCTGCGACAATGGCAGGATTACCAAGCGAAAACGCCCGCTTTCAACTCCAAGGAGAAGGATTTCACGGGCACCGTCGTCGAGGTCTTCAACGGCGATGCCATCAACGTACGCCTTGCCAATGGTCAGGTGAAGAAGGTATTCTTCTCCTCTATTCGGCCGCCACGTGATCAGCGCGCTGTCGTCGGCACGGATGGGGAGGAGATCGTCAAGGCTCCGCCACGTGGCAAGAACTATCGTCCACTCTACGAAATTCCGCATATGTTCGAGGCGCGTGAATTCCTGCGAAAGAAGCTGATCAACAAGAAGGTGCAGTGCAATCTGGACTACATTTCACCAATGCGTGACAATTTCCCGGAGAAGCACTGTTACACTGTGCTCATCGGCGGACAGAATGTGGCTGAGGCAATGGTGGCCAAGGGTCTGGCCACTTGCGTGCGGTATCGTCAGGATGATGACCAGAGGTCATCGGCCTACGATCAACTGATTGCTGCCGAGCAACAGGCCATCAAGGGCCAGAAGGGTCTTCATGCCAAGAAGGACAATGCCACGTTGCGCGTCAACGATCTAACTGTCGAGCATTCCCGCATTAAAGTGCAGTACCTGCCCTCCTGGCAACGCGCTCTGCGTACCGAAGCCATCGTTGAGTTCGTTGCCAGCGGCTCACGGTTACGCCTGTACGTGCCCAAGGACAGCTGTCTGGTTACCTTCCTGCTCGCTGGCATTTCATGCCCACGTTCATCGCGTCCTGCTCTTAATGGCGTGCCCGCCCAGGAAGGCGAGCCCTACGGCGACGAGGCGCTGACATTCACCCGGGAGCGTGTGCTGCAGCGTGATGTTTCCGTGCATATTGACACCACGGACAAAGCGGGCTCATCGGTCATTGGCTGGCTATGGACTGATCAGAACGTTAATCTGTCTGTCGCTCTTGTCGAGGAGGGTCTCGCCGAGGTGCACTTCAGTGCCGAGAAATCGGAATACTATCGACTGCTCAAGAGTGCTGAAGATCGTGCCAAGGCGGCCAAGAAGAACATCTGGGCCAACTACGTGGAACAAGTGCCTGAGGAGAAGGTTGTCGTCGAGGAGGACAAGGACGAGAAAGTTGTGGTGGAGCGCAAGGTCAACTACGAGAACGTTATCGTCACTGAGATTACCGATACGCTGACATTCTTTGCCCAGTCGGTCGACAATGGACCCAAGCTGGAGGCATTGATGAACAAGCTGCACGCCGACTTCCAGGCTAATCCGCCCATTGCCGGCTCGTACACGCCCAAGCGTGGTGACCTGGTCGCCGCTCAATTCACCTTCGATAATCAGTGGTACCGCGCCAAGGTGGAGCGCATCCAGGGCAACAACGCCACTGTTCTGTACATCGACTACGGCAACAAGGAAGTAAGTAGTATTCAGTAAAGGATTAAGATGAACTCATGAGTTCTTTTCGCAAGCTCCTTAGATCCGTTTCCGTCTCAAAGCGAAACGCATGAGTCATAAGTTTGCCAAATCAACACTGCGCATTTGTTAGACGCCAGCTGTGACCACGAAGCGATGTACACCAAACTCTACAGCAATTCATGGGTGTGTCCACGTTCAAGGAGCATTGATTTATCCGCACCAAGACTCGACAATTGAGCCATATTTTTTGGTGCAGTTGTTGGGCAAAAGCGGCTCTGATTCTATGTGCTCCACATTGAATATGGCACACTTTTTGTTGGGGGCATCCCAGACGTGGTCCAGTGACAGTCGACAGTGTGCGACATGACCATCATAATTATATTTAACTATGGATAAAGGAGAGGCTTTGCTAATCTATACTATTATCTGTTTTCCATTGTAGACTCTACCTATTAGCCGGCTGGCTGCCTTACCACCTGCCTTTAGTAGCGAGAAGCCTTATGCCACCGAGTACGCACTCGCCTTGATCGCACTGCCCGCTGACAATGAGGACAAGGAGGAGGCATTGCGCGCCTTCTCTGACGACGTGCTGAACCACAAGTTGCAGCTGAATGTTGAACTGAAGGTCGGCAATGGACCGCATCTGGCCACGCTACATGATCCGACAACGAAGACGGACTTGGGCAAGCAGCTTGTGGCCGATGGACTTGTGCTAGTCGAGAAGAGGCGCGAGCGTCGGCTGAAGGAACTCGTGGAGCAGTACAGGACTGCACAGGAAGCGGCTTTGGCTGCACATTTGGCTATTTGGAAGTACGGCGATATCACGCAGGATGATGCGCCCGAATTCCGCTAGGAGATGGTTCAAGCGTGCAGTAGGCAGGCGGCGTGTGGAGCGCGCGCTGCTGGCTGAAATGTTTGTCTGCCACATACCCGCCCTTTATATATTACAACAACAACAACAAGCAACAACTTAATGAATATGAAATTATTAATTCTATAAATACACTCACACAAACAAGCAAACACACCAATTTATATACATATATAAATATATGATGAATATAATCACATTGGAAATATTTGAGCAACAGGCAAAGGAAAAGTAAAAGAAACGAATAGAAAACATGAAGGAAAGGTTGAAACTTGAAACATTTGAATGCTTTAAGCAGCTGATAAACCGTTCTAAATTCGGTTTTTACGGTTTTAAAAAACTTTAATAATTCTTTAAACAAATATACAACAAACATGCAACGTAAACAAAAATTAGCAGCAATTGACCACTTTGTAAACGGTTAACTTCCAATAAAATAGAATCAAAGTAAAAATCGACAAGTTACAGCTTCTTTTTGAATGCGTCGAAAGTAAAAAGTTAAAGCTCGATTAATTTAGATTTGCTGATTTTGTGTTATGGTAATTAATTTTTTTTGAATCAACAGATTAAATAAAAACATATTAAAATCATTTTTATACAAAAAACCAGATACAGATCTATTTCTTTCGCTCCAGCATCTCGATCTTTTCTATAACCGCCTCAATATTAAAATCCTCTGGCACTTTAAGCCCCTTTTGTCTGTCTACAAGAGCCTTGGACTTTGCCTCGACTTCATTGATCTGCTGCTGGACAGCCGCTGGGGTCATGCGCTTATCAACTGAGGTGGTAAATCTGTGGGGAGTTAATTTATAACTTTAATAAATATTTAATTTAATATTTAATCAGCTCGCTATATTACTTTTCAAGCCCTGCAATATCCTTGCCGATCTCGTCTATTTCATGCTGAAGTTTCTTTATCTCTGCTCTTTGCTGTGTTACAGTTAGCTTGGTTTCGATCTGTTCACGCTTTTTAGTATAGTAAAATTCACGTAAATAATTCAAGTTCAGATCGTTTAGATTTCCGTCTACCTGAATATCCACACATTTGTCCACCAATGTTAAGACATCGTTTTGCAAGTCACAGACCTCAAAATTGACAAGTTTTAGCTTGTTTTCCAAGTGTTCTCCTATAATGCTACTAATTAATAACAGTCAAAATTGATTTATTTTGCTTACATACCCAAATTCTTCAAAGCTTTCACTTGATCCTGCAGTTTTATGTAGTCTAAAAAATAAAATTAAAGCAAAATATTATAAGATACAAAAATGATTAAAATCTTTAACAAAAACACACCCATTTTGTAGAAGCGTTCAACACAAAAACGAAATTAACTTGATGGTTTCAGTACAATAATTTATAAATATAATTGCTGTAAAAAGGCGCAAAATGTAAATATTTTTTTCGTATCGCAAAGGCAAGTTGACTTTTCAAGATGCCGCAATCTTATCGATATTTGGTAGCCCTGAAAAATCGAATATATCAATTTTAAATATTCATGTACAATATCTTTAGCTAATTAGAAATGCAGTTCGCTGCTTTAAAACAACGAAACAGTAATCAGACACGAAGAGTTTATCACTTTTTAAATATCCATGTGCTCATTGATTTTTATATAAATATTTTAAATTTTGCCATTCCGTGTACATTGGTTATTAAATAGCAAAAGGTTGTATATTGCGGCCATTCACTCCACCCTGTGAATGTGAAATAATGTGACGTCAGATTTGAACTTTCTCCAGATATTTAATTTAATTTCACTTTATTTTACTATAAATTCTCGACGGACTAGATTAAAGCACATAATAAAAATATTATATATATATCGAAATATATTTGACCGACTACTGTTTTATACATTCAAGATTCAAAAAATGTGACATCATGCGCAGTGAGAACTCAGTGTTGCTCATATACTTGCTTACCTATGCTTCTAACAGTCATGGCTTCTACTTTTTCTTTGTTTATATATACGCGTTTGTCGGTGCGGTTACCGTTGGGGCTTTTTAGCACGGGCTGGTGTGTTAATTTGTGCAAGCAAAATGCAAAATATTAATACAATTCTGAACAAATTAATTATTTAAATACTGTGCGAAAACGTCAAGTTCATTAAATGTATTTAATGTATAGCAAATCTATCGATTTTTAGAAACGGAGTTGCAAACTAGCGGTGTGTCTGTGTTGGTGTGTTTGTATGCTTATGCGTATGTGTATGTAAACTTACATACATTTGTATGTATATTCTTATGTACTAATAGAAAACTCCAGCCATTAAGAAAAACAGCAACGGTCCACAGCAAAAATGTCTGCGACGGCTGCCAATTTTTTGGGGATGGACCTTATCTCATCGCTGCCAAGTGATGTACGCGAAAAGCTGGCTGAATTGGACTTGGAGTTATCTGAAGGTATCGAATTTATGATTGTATACATGAAATTTAGATTAAGTTAGCAACACATTAGATATATTAATTAATCGTCTTTAATCCAAATAATCTGTGCTCTTGCTTTAACCGATAATATCGATAATGTAAAATTGGAGCACGATGTATTCGTAACCTGTCATGGGTAACATCAGATATCTCCACTAGGAGAACTTACCGCAGACAGCAGTCGCTAGGGGAACATGGATCGGTGCGGGGCGGGGCGGACCGGGTGTCTTTGTCATCGCGCCAACCCCTTTAACTGCTATTCATATAAAGCGTCTGCTTGTGTGCGGTTTTGTGGGATAAACGACATGTGTCTGCACGTATGCATATACATACATACATACATATACATGTATGTATGTGTACATGCATGCCTGCATGTAGTCGTATGCGCTTGCATGATTACAGATGTGCACAGAGCGCATATGAGTTTTAGGTTTGTGTGCGTCTGATGATATGACATGATGATTATTTACCTAAATATATATAACATACATACATATATATGCATAACAGATGGGCTCTTAAATTCTTTTGAGAGGTAGTTTAACCTAATATGCGTATATATATATTTTTATATATATAAATACATGGCACAATAATCAATTAATAGCGCTACTCTAAGGCATATCTATTAGGTGTGGCTTATCAGTTTAAAGATAAGCCCAACCCAGGCTCGGCGTATGTAAATAATAAACTAGATATTTTGAAGATAAATAACTTGGACAGCTTCAAATTTTTGGTTTGTTTATACATATATGATAAATGTTAAATAATAAGGTCAACAGATATAGCATATAATATTAATTATATTAATTTCTGTTTATTTAAAGCTTTCTCAAGAATAATATACTATATTTAAAATTACCATATTATATATGCCCACGTATAAAAATATATATATAATAATAACAAATAATTTTAATTTCCTCTTTAGTAAAATAAATAAAATAAAAATAATTAATACTTGTATTTTAACAAATTTCAGGCGACATAACACAGAAAGGATATGAAAAGAAACGGGCCAAATTATTGCAACCCTATCTCAAGAAACAGGAATGTAAGTATCTAATTTGGCTGTTGTCCATTTCGATTTGGCCAAATGAGTTTATTAACGGAAACAACGTGATTATCATTTATAGTAAACGATGTGGAAAAGGCAAAGAACTTGCCGCCACCGCCATATTATAACATAAAAGATAGCAACAATAGCAACAACAGCAACAATAGCAACGTCAACAGCGATGGCGTCATCATTTCCAGCGAAGGCTATAGCTATGTGACTGAAGTACCATCATTACCCTCATCACAACAAAGGCATTCCAAAAAGTCTGACTTTCACCAGCCCAGCTCAGCCATATCATCGTCATCGTCGTCGGCCACGCCTCAGGGCGGTGGTGGTGGTGCACCTGGCTATGAGAATATGCGACCGCAAGGCGGCGCCGTTGGCGATCCCGGCTATCAGAATACCCGCGAACCGAACACCTTCCAGAACCATGGTGCACATCCGCCATCGAACAGTAGCCAGCATCGACAGCGGCGCACACAACGTAAAGTAACGCACAATGAGAAACGATATCATTCCGGTGGGTCCATATAACAGTCTAAAATTATATTCAATTATCTAATTGACTTTCGTGTGTTGTTATTCAATAGAGGTGCGCCAGGAAGCTGTACAACAGGCACTGGCTGCGCTCAAGAGTCGACCCAAGCCCAGCCTGCCCATGCCCTCCAAGCGCAGCTCTGTGCTCAATCGGAGTCCCGGCTGTAACGATGAATTGGATTCATCCAGTGATGACGAATCGATACCCGAGGAGCTCATTTCACCCGACAAGGAATACAATTATCCGCGTGATCATATAAGCAACAGTATGCTGCCGCCCGAGCCAATTATAAAGCCACCAATACGTGAATCATCCATAATCGCACAACAACAGCATTTACGGCACGATGTCAAGCAATCTCAAGCGCCGATCCAGAAGTATCCATCGTCGGGCAGCGAGAGACGGCCACCGCAGAATCTACCGCCTCTGGTGAGTGACTCAGGGTCTAGAAACACTCTATTGTTTATGTTCAATTATAGCTTGATTGTTCATCGTTTAGATTAACAAAAGAGAATTGTAAACCATTACTAAATTAATTGAAGGAACTAATGTAATAGATGACTAGATAGATTGTTAGATTGTATACACTTGAAACTTAAAACAATGTTAACGATGTTAAATATGTGCTAATATAACAGATAGATTTATCTACAATCGAGTTATGAGCAACATTGTTTAAAATTAACAAAATGGAATTATAAACGACTGTCATACGAATTATTAATGAGCTAATAATATGAATGAATAGATAGTATGAACTAATGAAGCAGATAAATGATGATTAATATCTATGTAAATGTAATATGTATATAGGGATTTATTTACACTTTACCTCTCTCTTTTCCCCCTTACAGCCCACATCGGACACTTCGAGCACAGACTCCCCACCCATTGGATATAAAAGAGATCATGAGTTCACTGACAAGGCATATAAACAGAAGCATTGTAAGCACATCTCTTAATCCATATCACACATAATTTTAATCACTTCTCAATTTCTATATGCCCTTTAGTAAACGCACCCGACATTACCCAGTTCAACAACGCACATCGCATCGCTGATCGCGTCACACGTTATGTCAACGTCTCTCAGACGGAGCTAAATGAAACTGATGCGAATGGCAAATGGAAAGTTTCGGCCAAGATTCAACAATTGTTGAACACTTTGAAGCGACCCAAGCGACGGCCCTTGCCCGAGTTCTACGAGGACAATGATATTGAGCTTGAGATTGCGGCCAATCCCAAGGATCCGAATGCACCCAAGCCAGAGGGCAGCACCATGACACCAGTGCAAGGCGAACAGCTCTCGATACCAGCTGGCTTGCCACGCACATTGGAGTGCGCACTGCAGCGATATGGCATAAATTCCTTCAAGAGCTCCATGGCCACCGTCTTAGATCCGAATGGTAAAATAACCACGACCCTGACCTATGGCAAACTATACTCGCGTGCCCAAAAGATCGCCTATGCGCTGTCCACCAAAATCTTTAGCAAAGGACCCGAACAAGTCACTCTAAAGCCTGGCGATCGCGTGGCTCTGGTCTATCCAAACAATGATCCCTTGAGGTAAGTTTTGAATTTATATTTAAATTAGATTTACATTAATATTCTTTTGCATTACCCTAGCTTCATAACGGCCTGGTATGGATGCATGTTTCGGGGCTTGGTGCCGTTGCCCATTGAATTGCCGCTCTCGAGCTCGGACACGCCCCCACAGCAAGTGGGATTCTTGCTGAGTTCATGCGGCATCACCGTGGCCCTAACATCGGAGGCCTGCCTCAAGGGACTGCCCAAGTCGGCAACGGGCGAGATAGCCAAACTGAAGGGCTGGCCACGCCTACAATGGTTCGTCACCGAGCACTTGCCCAAGCCACCCAAAGACTTTAATGTGGGCAATTTGCGTATTGAAGAAACGGCTGCGGCGTATATTGAGTATACGACTGATAAAGAGGGCAGCGTAATGGGTAGGTTCCTAATATAGAAGTTTATAAATAAACAAATGTAATTAGTATACTATATAAAGTCTATATAGAGTATATAGTATATAGTATAGTAAAATGCGTTTATGAGAGCTGCAAGCTTTTCCTTAGCTTCCCTTTGGCATTTGTTTAATGTGTTTATCTAACTCTCAACTTAACTGACTTCGACTAATGCAACTCTTTTCCTCTTCAGGCATTACTGTTACCCGTGCTGCCATGATCAATCATTGTCGTGCCCTGACTATGGCCTGCCATTACACAGAGGGCGAGACCATTGTCTGCGTGCTGGACTTTAAACGCGAGGTCGGCCTGTGGCATGCCGTTCTCACATCTGTGCTGAATGGCATGCATGTGGTATTCATTCCGTATGCTCTGATGAAGCTGCGACCATCGTCGTGGATGCAGCTGATTACGAAACATCGTGCGTCTTGCTGCCTGGTCAAGAGCCGAGATCTGCACTGGGGTTTGCTGGCGACCAAGGATCATAAGGACATCTCATTGGCTTCGCTGCGTATGCTGCTCGTTGCCGATGGCGCCAATCCGTGGTCGTTGTCCTCGTGCGATCAGTTCTTAAATGTATTCCAAGCGAAAGGCCTGCGATCGGACGCCATTTGCCCCTGTGCCAGCAGCTCCGAGGTCTTCACGGTCTCGCTGCGTCGACCGGGTCGGTCGTCTACAACGGGCTTCTGCCAATCGGCGACTGGACGCGGCGTCTTATCCATGGCCGCACTCTCGCATGGCGTGGTGCGTGTAGACAGCGAAGATTCGTTGACTTCGCTCACACTGCAGGACTGCGGGCAGGTGATGCCAGGCGCCCAAATGGTGGTCGTTCGCTCCGAGGGCGCCCCAGTGCTCTGCAAAACGGATCAGGTGGGGGAGATATGTGTGACGAGTGGCTCAACGGGTGCCAGTTACTTTGGACTTGATGGCATGACGAATTCGACATTTAAAGTGCAACCCCTGCTGGAGGATCCAGAGCAGCCGAAGGAGACGGGCGGCACAATTGTGAGCAGCCCCAAGCCACTTAGCGAAGAGTATTATGTACGCTCCGGTCTCTTGGGCTTCCTGGGACCCGGCGGCTTGGTGTTCGTGTGCGGCTCACGTGACGGCCTGATGACGGTGACCGGGCGCAAGCACAACGCAGATGACATCATTGCCACGGTGCTGGCCGTCGAGCCCATGCGCTTCATCTATCGCGGACGCATTGCTGTGTTCAGCATCAAAGTGCTGCGCGATGAGCGTGTCTGTGTCATAGCCGAGCAGCGGCCCGACTGCTCCGAGGAGGAGAGCTTCCAGTGGATGTCGCGCGTGCTGCAGGCAGTCGATTCCATACATCAGGTGGGCATCTATTGTCTGGCCCTGGTGCCGCCCAATCATTTGCCAAAGACCCCGCTGGGCGGCATACATCTGTGTGAGGCGAGGCGTCGCTTCCTGGAGGGTTCGCTCCATCCGGCAAATGTCCTGATGTGTCCGCACACATGCGTCACCAATCTACCAAAGCCACGAGAAATGCATCAAGGTGAGTGGATGAAATGTTTTCGTTTTTTCGCTATTGATTTTGTTTTGTTTTGTTTTGGATATACGGCTATATATATATGTATAACCTACTGTTTAATCTATTGGCTTTGTTGGTTCCTATCTGTGCTTTTCTTTATGCATATTCGTATCTGATAAAAATACAAATATTGTTTTCCTCTTTTTTATTAATCACCAAACAACAAACAACTACAACTACAACAACAATGAAAATGCTGCGGTTGCTTCCCACTATGCCCACTACAAATAAATACGCACCACTAATAAACAACAACAACAACAAACAAACAAACAACTATTACCACACTCACTACTCAACACTGTATAAAAAAAAAACAATAACAATACATTACCAATACAAATACAAATACCAATGTCAACAACAACAACTAATTGCATTTGCTGTGCTTTCAAATTAACAAAATTCACAATAAATTTGCATACGATCTATATAACTCATACTCTGTTACTGTGCCATCTCAAACCGAAATCCTTGTACAAAAACAACAATACCATTCTACTAAAACTAACCAAAAATCAAAATCAAAACCAAAACAAAAATTAAATAAAGGTGTGCAAACAACTGCAAAACTAAGCTCAACATCTGGCTGTGGTATTACAGACACGGGCGTAGGACCCGCCTCGGTCATGGTTGGAAATTTAGTGCAGGGCAATCGTTTGGCTGTTGCACACGGACGCGACGTGGGCATGGCTGAGGACGGTGAGCGTAAGGTAGGTCATTGATTACAAAGCACTCCATCCATAGCTAATTTATCATGACTTCAATCAACAGCCCCAATTGATAACAGGCGTATTGCGTTGGCGCGCCAACACCTCGCCGGATCACATCATATTCACGTTGCTCAATTCCAAGGGTAAGACGTGAGCATTCCAAATAATAAAGTCAACTAAATTTTATCGACAATTTTATATAAATTTCTAGGCGCTATAGCCAAGACGCTGACCTGCTCCGAGCTGCATAAGCGAGCTGAAAAGATTGCTGCACTGCTGCAAGAGCGTGGCAAGATTGAGCCAGGTGATCATGTTGGTAAGTCTATGAAATACCTTCAGATATTGGAAGCAGTACAAGTGTTAATAATACCTCCATTTGCCATTCATGTAGCGCTCATATTTCCACCTGGCTTGGATTTGCTCTGCGCCTTCTATGGCTGCCTTTATCTGGGCGCAATACCTATAACAATACGGCCGCCGCATCCACAGAATTTGATAACAACGTTGCCCACTGTGCGCATGATTGTCGATGTATCCAAGAGTGGCATTGTGCTCTCCATACAGCCGATTATTAAGTTACTAAAATCGAGGGAGGCGGCCTCGTCCATCGATCCGAAGACCTGGCCACCCATACTCGACATCGATGATAATCCAAAGCGTAAATTGGCCGGCATAGCCACAGTCTCGCTGGACTCCAGCGCCTACTTAGATTTCAGTGTATCGACATGCGGTCGTTTAAGTGGCGTCAATATAACTCATCGGTGAGTGATCCTCAAAACTAAACGAAGCTTCAACTAATTTATATCTTCTACATATTTATTGAAACAGATCTCTGTCTAGTCTGTGCGCCAGTTTAAAACTGGCCTGTGAGCTGTATCCATCGCGGCATGTCGCCCTGTGTCTGGATCCCTACTGTGGCCTTGGCTTTGTCATGTGGACTCTGATAGGTGTGTACAGTGGCCACCACTCCATATTGATTGCCCCCTACGAGGTGGAGGCCAATCCCAGTTTGTGGCTCTCGACGCTGTCGCAGCATCGCGTACGCGACACATTCTGCTCGTATGGTGTCATTGAGCTGTGCACCAAGGCTTTGAGCAATTCGGTGCCGTCGCTCAAGCAGCGCAATGTGGATCTGAGATGTGTGCGCACCTGCGTCGTTGTGGGCGAGGAGCGTCCGCGCGTGACACTGACCCAGCAGTTTTGCAAACTGTTCCAGGGCCTCGGGCTGAACACACGCTGTGTCTCCACTTCCTTTGGCTGTCGCGTTAACCCGGCCATATGCGTTCAGGGCGCCAGCTCGGCTGAGAGCGCACAGGTGTATGTGGACCTTAGGGCGCTGCGCAACAATCGCGTGGCATTGGTGGAACGAGGTGCGCCCAATTCGTTGTGTCTAATCGAATCCGGCAAGCTGCTGCCTGGCGTCAAAGTGATCATAGCAAATCCGGAAACTAAGGGCCACTGTGGCGATTCACATTTAGGTGAAATTTGGGTAAGCTAATGTCTGATATTAAAATGGATATTTTAATGACAAATCCTCTTCTGTCTATAGGTGCAATCTCCGCACAATGCCAACGGCTACTTTACTATCTATGGCGATGAGACCGACTACAATGATCATTTCAATGCCAAGCTGGTCACGGGCGCCACCTCTGAGGTGTATGCCCGCACCGGCTACTTGGGCTTCTTGCGGCGCACCGAATGCTCGCAGGCAGCCTCCATATTGGATGAGACCACGCCGAGCGTAGCAAGTCGTGACAGTGATACAGAGTCATTGAACTCCATGAGTCAATTGCAGTTGAACTTTTCAAATACTTCGCTGGGCGGCAATTCGGAGCACAGCCTGGTGGGTGGCGCAGTTAACTCCAGTGATCAGGAATTGCACGATGCGGTTTATGTGGTTGGCGCTCTGGACGAAGTGATTTCGTTGCGCGGCATGAACTATCATCCCATAGATATTGAGAATTCGGTATTGCGCTGTCATAAGAAAATTGCTGAATGGTAAATTTGAGTGGCTTTAAATTATAGAAAACTTTTGAAATGATTTAACTTAATTTTGTTTTTAGCGCCGTCTTCACTTGGACCAATTTGTTGGTTGTTGTTGTTGAGCTGGATGGCAACGAATCGGAAGCGCTGGATTTGGTGCCCTTAGTCACAAACACGGTGCTGGAAGAGCACCAACTCATAGTGGGCGTCGTTGTAGTCGTAGATCCGGGTAAGTTCGAATTGTTATTGTTATACAAAAATTTTTATTTAATTTGTATGTAATCCTTGCATTGCAGGTGTTGTGCCCATTAACAGCCGTGGAGAGAAGCAACGCATGCATTTACGGGATGGTTTTCTGGCCGATCAATTGGATCCCATTTACGTTGCATACAATATGTAAATAGTATTATAGCGCTAAGCCCGGCGCCATCCAAAAGTATGACACACAAATATTTATTCATCATCATATAATGAATTTTCCTCGTAATCATGAAAAACACATAAGAAAACAGAGCAAAAAAAACAAAAAAGAAAAACCAAACACGAACACAATTAGATTTGCATGATTTAGAAGTATTTGACATCGATAAAGCAGAAACAAAAATAACCGTAACGAAATTGCTTCATCCTTAAAGACGACATTACATCATAGTTAATACATTTATCACACTGACTCTCTCTCTTTATCCAAGATCCCCTAAACCTAATGACACTTTATGTATAAAAGTGACGACAAGCAAGAAAACACAATATTAACAACTTTCTTTATGAAATGCAATAAACAATTTATATAAATAAACAAATTAGATGACTAAATTCTTATGTAGGATTCAATGGTTTGTTAACCGGCTGCAATTCGGTGCCCTCGCTGATCGTATGCGTGCCCCGATCGTACCACCAGCGCAATATTATAGTGCGACGTCTGCGCACGACCAGAAAGATAAGCATGATCCACAGGCCTTGAAGTCCATTTATCATATCACAGAGTAGTAAATAAACTAGAAGGGAAATCAATTTATTATGTATTATATTCTACTGTTATATAATTGTTATATTACCTTCATTGCCAGGCGAGTAGAACGTAACTATTTCGAAGAGCCAAGCTAATATGATGATAATGCCCAATAAGGCTACACATTTGGCGCTGTTAATGTTAACGGAGTTTATTAATATATTATTTAAAAGAATTTCCATGTCCAAACACCTACTCTTTTTTAACATCCTCGTATTTTTGCTGATCAAACTGGCGTATGGGGCTATTGCTATTCTTTTCATCCTCATTGGCACGCAAATAGCCATCAGTTTTGATGCGTTGAAAGCCAAAGAAAGCTACTACCATGGCCTAATAAAGAAAAATATAAAGTTTATAGTAATAATTATGTATTATAAAATTTATACAATAATACTCCTTAGCAAAGTCAAATGAGCATATTGGGTTTGCGTATTCAAGCTAAAGACTTTAAAAGAGACTATATCTATAGCCGTAATGAGGCGTGTCAACTGCGGAAATATTTCATATTTATTTTCATATAATATTTGTAAATAGATTTCATTGTTTTCAGAGCGTGAACACCTTATATACAGACGGTCACGTCCGATTGTAAAATTTTTCTTCGATTTCAATGCCCTTGCACTTACCAGAAAGCTAAGCCCCAATAGAGTAGAAACGGGTGGTATAAAATAGCGTTGCGATTCTCTAATGGATTCCGTGAGTCCCTTTTGGAAGTATGAGGGCATGCCCGGCAAGCCCTTTTGCACCGTCAGCGTGACTAGAATAGCTGGTCCCACAATAGCGAATGCACAATAGACGCCAAAATTCACAATAGTCCACATCTTGTTGAATTGCACGTAGCGCGGCAGCTTATACCAAATATTCAACAAGACATTGCAGCAAATGCAGAAGAACCAGAAGAAGAAGCTTAGAATGAAGAACTGTATAACGTAGCCGATAAACCCGCCGGATGGTATGCCATATATGTGGACTATAGAGTGCACGAAATAGCCGCAGGCCAAGCACAGCGACATCAGGGCCAAGGACCAGCCATGCAGGTTGCGCAGCAGCTTCAGCGTCAGGTGCAAATAGCTAACCAGCAGCAGGCAGGGCATGCTGATGAGCATCATGATGGCCACAATGATGATCTTCGCCTTGGACACCTCCTCCACCTGTGTGATGCATACGAAGGCCAGCATGTGGCCAGACTTATCCTGATCCAGGCAGTAGTTCTCCTGCACCGTGTAGGACTCGTTGCCATTCTTGTCGATGATCAGCAGCGAACCATCTTGCAGCACAAAAAATAGATCTTCTGAATCTTCGTATTGAAACGAGCTGAAAAAGTTAACACTGCAATGAATACAGAGAGTTACAGAGCACAAAAAAATATCGTATAGCTACGTCTATATATAATGGACTTCGTAGTCTTCGAAAAGTATTCCGAATATAGAATATATATACAAGTTTATATCATAATCAGTACTATGAAGTCTAAAGTTTCTAGTCTTAAGAGACTTACCTATTACATGGATTGCCAATTTCGATGGGCAGCTCCGTAGTTATTTCCAAGTCTTCTATACAATTGTCATAGAGCACCGCACTAATGATAGTTGGCTCAAAATTGAGCACGGCATTATCACACATTGAATCACTTTGGTTTTCCCGATAAAAATCCAAGTTTTCCCCAAGTGGACAGCATTTTCGTAATCGAGAGCTAGACGATGCTACGGGTTGATTTCTGGACTTCTCACGCTGTGAACAGTCCGTGGGTTGAACTTGTTTTTGTAATACTTTCACCTCTGGCGTTTCTGTGCCGGTCGTTGTAGGAATACTTGAATCATACGTCGAATTATTTGGCATTGGCGTCGTAGAATCTTCCGTTGAACTTATATTATTGAACTGCTCCAATGTCGTGCCTGTACTATAAAAAAATAGTAGTTCACTTAAACGGTACATCGGAATAAACAAATCTGAAGAACCTGCTTGTGTCGATTACAGTCGTTGCATTGGAAACATCTTCAGCTTTGGTTAATGCCAGCAGAATGCAGAGATGTGTGACAAGATATACTTTTAGATAATACTTTAATCCACTTATCCAACATTTTGTGCCCATTTTAAATCAGTTTGTATTATATTTATAGTATATTTGGTATTTTAATTTGGTAAATGCTATCCTACTATTGTTTAACTGAAAAGAAATCAATAGAAACAACAAATAAGTTTAAATCATAAATTGTAATTGTGTGTAAAAAAAAAATATATATTTATAAATATAAATATATTATTTATTATCATTATAATGATTAATAAAATCATGACGACGTTATATAATGAATATAATCGATTTGTTCAAAATTATTAATCAAATTTGAAAATACCAGATTCAAAAACCCGTTATTATTATCATGCTAATTATAGTGTTCATGGTCATTATAATATAATTTACTTCGTTGATATCGTCATATTCCTTCAATCGAATTATATTCGCTCTATGTGTTTATAATAAAATTATTTATTAAATATTATTCAATGCTAAATTAATAGTAATTATAAAACACATGATATAAAAAATAATAATAATAATAATAATAAACAAAATGTGTAACACAAGTTCGTATATAAAAAGTGAAAAAATATGAATAAAAGAAAAATATATACATATAACATATATGAACATTTAATCAAATATAAAAATAATATATTAAAAATAAAAATATAAGAAAAAATATATTAAAAATATAAATACAAATATAAAACAAGATTAATTTTAAATATGTAATAAGAAAAAGTTTAAATTAAATTATATATACTAAAAATATTTAAAAGTTAATTAACAAAAAATATTAAATGCAAAAATACATTAAACATTATGCACAATAATTCAAATATTCATAACACACAAATTGTGCATCACATTGCACACCCGACCCACACTAAGCTAGGGAGACGACTGAACAAGAGCTGATGCTGCCTCGTCTTTTTATAGCTGATACATTTGCACTCAGAACAAAGCTGAGCTCTTGAGTGGATTTAGCTAGTTTTCATGCTCACTCAGTTTCACTCATTAAGTAGAAAGAGTATATAGGTTTTGGGCATACATTAAACAAACATTTTTATGATGAACAAACATTAACATTAACATAATTATTATTAATTAAAACAATAATTGGACAGCTTCAATAAAAACAATACTGCAACTGCAGTGCTAAAGACAATCATTTTTCTAACTTGAATATTCTCACTCAAAGTAGTGCAGAGTCGATTTAGAGTTCGTTTTCATTTGCTCTCATTCGGAAATGCAAATATAACGATAAAGATGAAGAAATAAACCGAGATGATCAATTAGACAGGGTTTAAAGCCAGATCAACTGCATATATAAGTGTGTAGATAAGTAAATATGTGCATTACGCATACAATTCTCGTATACTGTTATATGTGTACTTTTGCAGAAAACAGTTATAATCAATGGATGGATTCAGCGTAAAAATAGCGGCTATCAACAACAATGCCCATACTTGTATTATCTTTTACGTGTAGTCCAATTATAAGGCGCGTTCACACATATGACGTCATATTAATGAGTGTGTGCTGATCAGAAATTCTTGTTATTATGTGAAGAACAGCTAGTAAAATTAGTTATGACATTGTATATACACACGACATACATTGGTATGCCATATATAACACATTTTTATTCCAAATGCAATGATAAGCAAACTGACAGGGAAGAAAAGTTGTTATTGTAATAAAACTGAAACAACAGCGAAACACAGGCACAGTTGTCGCTTGCTATAATAACTATAATAACGTATGCACTAACACAAGTGCACACAGAAATTAAGCATTAAGGGAGACAGGTGTAGTTATGCATGTGTATGTATTCCAAACGAATCTTTTTATGGGGAACCGTTTTAACTCACAAGTCAATAAGCCAAATTCTTTGTAGTTGTTAACACAGTTTATGTGTGTATTTGTTTATTATCTGAATATTATCTTCACTATTGTTACAAATTATCGAATAATACTTATAAAAATAAGTAAACGTTTTCTTACACAATATCGCTGCGAACATTTAGCACATTATTTAAAAAACGCAACCGATGGGCGCGCACAATGAAGTAATACTAGCGAATAATGCGTCTAGCACATAAGTGCTGTAGGCAGTGGCATAGCCACTGATAAGATAACGAAATATAACGGCAGGGCTGCAGAACTCTTCAGTATTTTTAAGCTAATTCTCAAATAGAAATATATATTTTTTAATTTATGATTCTCAGTTCTAAAAGTAGCAATTGAGTTAACTGGAAAAAATAAAACGATACCGGCAATGTCATTATTCGATTGTCATTTTTAAATCTAAGGATCCCATGAACAGTTATCGATTACAGATACGATTGCAGCACTGCGTCAAATGCTCATACAACCATGTACAGTATAGTACGTTAAACGACTACTAGAGGTCGCTTGCGACATTAGCAAATGAAAGACGCGCTGTGATTGGTTGACTGTACGCTATTCGGGTTACTAGTGCAGAAGTAAAATGTAAGGTAAAAGTCGCTCCAACAGTTTGCTTAAGAATAGTTAAATAATATTGAAAAATAAGTATTAAAACGTGTTCGCAATGTGATGCCAAGTGCAATAGGTAAATTGCATTAAATGTAAATGTGAATTGTGCTATTCACACATAACTGTGACAGTCTGTAAAAAATTTTTTCGGTTTTATAAATGGCGGACAATGTGCGTTGGCTTCAGCTCCATAGACACACACACATACACACGCTCGTTCGCTTATTCAATTACACATACAGACACGACGTCGAGTACCTAGCACGGCATTAAGTATTGAGAATGTATAATTTGGCAAACCTGGCTCAGGGCAAAGCATCCTTAACTGTGTGATTTGTGTGTGTATATGTGTGTGTATATATACATTATTTTGGCGCCATATATGCAATTAGCAAACATTTTCAATATTCGAATTGTAAACAAAAATGGTATTTCTATGAGATTTTGTGAATTTTATCGATTTTTTCTGCACATGTACATGCATATACATATGCGTCAATACAACTGTATGCGCAAATGAACGTGAACGAATACCAATTACAGTTGATGCTGCATTTACCAGTTGAAATTGTTTTGTTTTAACAAATCTTATTTTCCGTGTGTGTTTTTTAGATAATGTGTGTTTTTCGAGAAGAGCTAAAGGAGAAATAAATTGTATTTGAGAGTAACAGAGTACGCACACACGCTTACACGCTTCACACACGTACATACGGATAGTTTTAAGCAGAAAGTGGGTGGCGAAGGCATCAATAATCGCAATAACGACGCAAAGGCTGATCAGAATATAATGAGTGGTCGAGGCAGCCGGAAGCGTGGTCGCCCGCCAAAGACGCCAAACGAGCGCTCATCGGGACGCTTCAACTATCATCTGCTCAAGAAGCCAAAATATCTCAGTGAGGGCAAATCCCAGCCAAGCACTCCATCGGCGTCACGCTGCATCTCACCACAGAGCGATGAATGCAGTCGCGGCAGCCACAACAATCGCAGCGCGCGCGGCAGCGGCTCGAAACGGGGCCGTGGACGGAAATCAAATGCCCATGCTAACTCCAGTAGTAACAATTATTCAGGAAGAAAAGGTAACTAGATATTCATATAAGAAATTTATCGATTAAAGTAGTTTTAAGATATTGTAGATAGAATGAAAGTAGTAGTATAAAGTATCATAAATCAGACCTTATATTTGTGCTGAATGTTGGACAAGTCAGCAGTAGCAATATATATTAATATATCGAGACTATTATTTAAAATAGTATTGAGATCTTAATATTGTAGCTAAAAACAATATGGAGTCATTATTATTTATTATATACATAGAACAGACATAATATTTAGGCTGAAAGATGTGTGTTGAATACCCTGTCATCAATATTTTACTTGAAGCAAGATGGTATCACTTATATCATATACACAGACAACTTATATTAGAACTGAGCAGTCTTAAAAAAAACTGTCAAAGTTTGTATGTTGCTAAAAAAAATGTTACAGCTCTCTACCAATTGACAAGTAAAGTAATGTGCTATTGTCGTCGATTTTTGAACGAAATTGTATAAATTGTAATTAATTGCAAAGCTGAGATTATTCAAAAAGAGTCCAACGAGAGCGAATTTGAAGAAGTTTTTGATAATAATCAATCATACAAGGTCGATTTATTCATTTCGCGATAATAGCAAGTCTACCTGAAGTCAGGAATAGTGATCAAGAAGAAGACAGGCTTGACAACCATGAGCTCTGCTCGTTTAAAGGGTAAATGTTAAACATATAGGCAGCGAGATATATATAGATGTATTCCCTACTATATGTGAATATAGTTCTAATTGTTTTCCCCTCTAACATTTGTGACAGGTTTCGAGTCGGAGTATCATTATGGGTCAGATTTCGGTGACTCGGATGAGGAGAAGACCGATAATGAAGACGATTTGCTACTTACGCCCAGCGATGATGAGAGCCTAGACGCGGCCAATGAGAGTGAGTCCGAGTTTTCAGTCTGCAGTTTTACACAGAACGGCTTGGGGCGACCGCCGCGTCCGCCCAGCCCGGAGCCAATTTGGCTACAGGAAGGACGAGAGTATCCGGCACTCGAATTGCCCGATTCGTCCGAAGATTTATTTATAGACAATGCGCACGTTTTGCGTGCTGTAGGTATTTATGAAGTATTGAGACGCTTTCGTCACTTGGTACGGCTGTCGCCCTTCCGTTTGGAGGACTTTTGTGCCGCACTGGTCTGTGAGGAGCAGAGTGCCCTGCTCACGGACATTCATATAATGCTCCTGAAGGCCATATTGCGCGAGGAGGATGTACAGGGCACTCATTTTGGGCCGCTCGATCAAAAGGACACCGTCAACATAAGTCTCTACCTGATCGATGCCATCACATGGCCAGAAGTGCTGCGCAGCTATGTGGAGAGTGACAGAGAATTCGATCGTAATGTTTACAAAATACTCAGCACTGGCGAATACCCTTACACAGGCGTCGATCATCGTCTGGTTGTGCTGCAATTTCTGGCTGATCAGTTTCTCACTGCCAACTCGGTGCGCGACGTGATGGTGCAGGAGGGTCCCATCCATTATGATGATCATTGTCGTGTCTGTCATCGCCTCGGCGATTTGTTATGCTGCGAGACATGCCCGGCTGTCTATCACCTGGAGTGTGTCGATCCGCCCATGAACGATGTACCTACCGAGGACTGGCAGTGCGGTCTATGTCGCTCCCACAAAGTCTCTGGCGTAGTCGACTGTGTTCTGCCGCAAGAGAAACAGGGCGTGCTCATACGGCACGATAGTCTCGGCGTGGATCGACACGGTCGCAAGTACTGGTTTATTGCGCGACGTATATTTGTTGAGGATCAGATTGACGGCGTCACTTGCTGGTACTATAGTACAACATCAAAATTGGAATTGCTGCTGAAGCGTTTAGATGCCACAGAGCTAGAGTCTCGACTTGTTGCCCAGCTGACGGAGCGACAGGAGGAAATTGAGCGTCAGATGAAGTTAACAGAGTCGCTCACCAACGAGCACAAACATAACAAGCGCACCTTATTAGATCTAGAGAACGAGGCTACACAGGAACTACTCGAAAAGGAGTCATCCAATATATCGGCCGATGAGAATAACGATCAGGCGGGTGAAACCGTCAAGAAAGCCGATGATAATAAGATGATAACGCGTCAAAAGACAAATCAATTGAACAACGGCACACTCTACTTCAAACTGGGCATGGAGCAGGGCTTTAAGAACTATGTCAACCAGTACGCCACCAATCCCATAGCACTGAACAAGCCGCAACGAAATGAGGAGCGCGACAAGCGGCGTCATCTCTCCCACAAATTTTCACTGACAACGGCTTCGGATTTCAAATGGATTGGCATCACAATGGGCACATGCGATAATATTATCACCACATTGCGTCAGACGCTGCTTAACTTTGAGTCAAATATAGCTGCGCCCTTCATGAACATCAACTGGCAGAGCAACAAGAAATTGTGGAATAATGCCGTAATGAATGCGAAACGGGCAACAGATTTTGCTGCTGTTCTGTTGCTGTTTCAGTCATCGCTGAAGAGCGTCGTCTTTGCCAATGTGTGGCACGAGCAGCTGGGGCACATATATCTCCAGCGGATCACGAGTAGCGAGCGTGAGGAGCGCAAGAAGCAAGAGAAACGTGAAAAGCGCGAACGTGACGACGAGGAGGAGCGCAATCGCCTCGCATTTAATTACATCAAATACTCGCTGGGCCTGAAGCATCAGGTGTGGAAGCAGAAAGGCGAGGAGTATCGCGTTCACGGCCAATGGGGTTGGCTCTGGCTGTCCAGCAGTCGGCGGTGCGGCGTCCGTGTGCGACGCACCCGTGCTCAGCCCTTGACCCACAATCGCGTCTATGTACACTATACGATGGGTGAGGATAAGAATGTCAACGAGGTGATCCTCGTTGATCCGCGAACGCAGCGCTTCATTCAGCAATGTAAGGCAGTGCATGATGCGGGCCAGGTGTGTCATTATCTGCCCGAACAGTACACCCACATCGATGTGGTGGAGGATGTTGGGGAGCGGGTGAATGGTCTAATTGATGTGAGCAAGGCATTGACTGAGCCCGGACGAATCTATTATCCGAAGGTGGCTCGGAAATGTCGCCTCGATGATTTGCTGGAGCGGCGCACCAAATTGGCCGAGGTCGAGAAACAAATTGCAATCAAATCCGATGTGGAAGGTGATATCAAACCACTTTTGGTGACAACATCCACAGCAAATGGAGCAGGCAGCCAGAAGCAAACGTATCTCGAGAAACGTCTGATGCGCCTCACTGAATCCTCGGGCAGGAGTATTCCATCCAACGTCAACTTAGATCTCGTCAACTCGCTGGCCAAGCAAATACAGACTGTTCGGTTGCAGTTCAGCCAGCTGAATCGCTACGCCAAGACCTTCCGTTGCTATACGAAGGAGTGCAATACGAACTCGAATGCCGTTTCGCAGATTACTCAGAACACTTGTTACTCCCCTCTCTGCCTGCAGAAGGCGCGGGCAAAGAAAGAGTTGTTGTTGCTACTGCGCAAGGCACACACGGCCGGCAATGGCTCCAAGGAGACGGTCGCCGCGATTTTGGGTGCCGTGAAAAAGCCGTCCATACTCGAACAGAAGCTAACAGAGGGCAAAAAGGAATCGGTCCAATTGGCCATCGATGAGTCCGACGATCACAAATTGCATGAAAACGAAGCGCCGCTTGACCTGCTACAAGACTGGGAGCAGGCTCGGACGCATGCAGTTCCCTTCACTGACCAGTTGATCACTGGCTGCTTACAGATCGAGCCCGAGGACACGGAAAAGGTGCAAGTCAAGGAGGAGCAGAATGCAGCTAGCAGTCTGAATCCAGATTCAAATACTCAAGACTCCGACAAAATGGACTACATCGAGAATATGGACGTGTGCAGCAATGTGGAAATAGAGAGCACAGAGGATTCAATGACTGTGGCGGCAAGCTCGACGGCAAATATGGACGATATCGATATGTTTCCGGGCCTGCGGCGGAAGCGCACAGTCAAGCCCAAGAAGGCGTATATTGGCACCAAAGATGTTTTGGATCAGACTTTGGACAAAGATATACCGCTCAACAAACAAAACCGTAGATTCCCCATTACCCAACGGCCGGTTAAGCGCGAGGATGTCACCAAATATGAACGGGAATATTTCGAGAATGGCACTGAGCGCGTTTACTCCGCCACTTCGACACGGGGTCGCGTCTATCTGTTGCGCGATGAGTCCAAGTTGTATGAGCAGTCTGTGAAGGCGGATGATAAGACAACAGTTGTCAAGAAGCCAACCTATGCGCGCTATCCGCTCATTTCCAATTTCCTGACCCACAAGCAGAAGCGCAGCCTCCTGGTGCTGCCACGCTACGAATTGCTCAAGCTGTCGCGTCTGGGCGGTAAGGCACCGGCCAGTGGCTTCCATCATGCTGCCAAAAACAACTCCATTTGGCAGTATCAGTGCTCTAGGCCTCTGTTCCGCACATGCTGGTCATATCGTACATCCAATGCGACGACTTTGTCGTGCATAGCATTGCAGCTAAGAATCTTGTGGTCTTGCCTACGATGGGATGACATGATTGCCAAGCCGCCATCCGCGGATGGCAAGCATCAGGTCACAACTGAGAATGAAATCGTCACACTGGAATTGCTGAAATTGCGCCATGCCGGCCGCTACGGCGAGAAGACAAGCTATCTGCGACGCAAGGTTGTCATACCTTTGGAGATGCCAAAGACTATTCGAGGTAAGGATCAGCTTCAACTACATTTAGATCAATTAATAATAAACTCTCAACTCCCACAGAGGTAACATCAATACGTTCGGGTCTGCGTAAGCGCAAGCGTGCCGAATCGCCACAGCCGACAGAGCCGCAAATAAGTGAGGAATGGGTGGATGAGGATAAGTTGGAGCTGTGGGAAATCAAGTTTATTGGCGAGAAGCAGGAGAAGGCTCGCCTGGCCACGGTGACGCGGTCGGTGACATCACGGCAACTGGAGTCAAGCAATGGCTCTGGCTTGAGTGCCTCAACAGTGGGCAGTCCAGGCGGTGCACGTGTTCTGCTGGCTCCAAAGTCTGGCGAGGATGTCAAGGATAAAATGGAACAGCAGTTGAAGCTTCAACGTGCAGCGCATCAGCAGCGTAAAGTAATTGGCGTGAATGAAGTGACACGTTCGTCAACCCCTGGTAATTGATTCCATTTGGTAATTTAATATATTAATTAATTGACATCATTAAAATTCCGGCAGTTAAAGGACAAGTGATTGGCAGTAGACGTGTAATAGTCAAGAATCCGGATGGCACAACGCGCATCATACAACAGGCAACCACACAATTGGCGCGCAGTTCAGCATCGGCCGCCTCGTCGTCAGCGAGTCCCTCGCCCTCTGCGAATGCTTCACAGGCAAATGCCACGTCCACGACGCCCGCTTCCACGCCACACAAAGTACAAATCATACGTGGACCCGATGGCAAAGTAAGCGTGCGAGGCCTCAATCCGGGGCAGCAGCTGGTCCAAATGCCAGATGGAAAATTGCATGTTCTAACGACAACAACATCAAATACAGTGACGTCAAGTAAGTCGACTAAATGCCTACTATAAATATTTATATTAACGTTCTGCTTTTCTTTCCGTTCAGGTGTCAAGGGTAAACTGCCAATTAAAACATTGACAGCGCCGGTTGCATCGCATACGTTGCCCACAGCGACGGGCGCTGGCAATGCCGCATCTCCAGTGATCAAACAAATTGCAGTGAAACATGTTAACATTGGCAAGTCACCGGGTGCGCAAAGCCTAGCAGCGTCTCAGCGTGTTACCCTGCCTTTAGCGCAAGTCAAAAATAAATTACTGCTTGCGCAGCAACAACAACAACAACAACAACAGCAGCAACAACAGCAACAACAACAGCAGCAGCAACAACAACAGCAGCAAACTGTACAAGCCAGCACAGCCTCGCCAATGGTTCAGAAACTTGTGCCGAAAGTGGTAACAACTGCTTCGCCGAATCAGCAACTGTTTGTTCAGCCCGGCTCAAAGTTGCTGGTAACACAAGGCTCACAGGGACAAAAGGTTATCATATCTGCATCGCCCAGCCAACAGCAGCAACAACAACAACAAGGCACTGCAACAGTGCAGCAACAGCAAATTGTTCAAGCACAAACCATTCAGCAGCACATCCAGCAGCAGGCGCCGCCACAGCAGCAACAGCAGCAAATTGTGGTTAATCAGCAGATGGCCAGTCAGCCCACGCAAAAGGTGATACAGCAAATTGTCAACACGAGCAACGTGCAGCAGCAAATTGTTGTGGGTGGGCAGCGCATAATATTGAGTCCGGGACAAACGATCGTTACACAACGTAATGTGCCGCAAAGTCAAGCTCTGCAAATGGTGCAGCAACAAATACAAACGCAACAACAACAACAACAGCAGCAGCAGCAGCAGCAACACATCGTGCAACCACAGCAACAATATGTGGTGCAAGCAAATCAAACTGTTCAAGCGACACCCACAACGCAAACCAAATTGGTTAAGCAGGTGGTGGTGCAACAGCAGCAGCCGCAGCAACAACAACAACAACACCAGCAGCAGCAGCATCAACAAGCCATCGAAGAGAAACCACAGAGTAGCACCACAGAGAGCACTGAGGCAACCACACAGCAAGTGCTTGTGCCCAACTCAACGTTGGCTCAACAATTGGCGCAGGGCAAATTGCAAGTGGCTACGATTAATGGACAGCAAGTCATTGTGAAGCCATTGGGCAACAATCAGGCTCAAATCGTGGCTCACATCAAGCATCAGGGCGATGGCAATGCCCATATTGTGACCAACAATGCGACGCCTGCCGTAGCCCAACCAAGCCCACAAAACTCACCCGTTAAACAGACGCATCAGCAGCAGCAGCAACAGCAAACAGTTGTGCAACAAACTCCACAACAAGTCGTCATACAGCAACAACAGCAAGTACAACCGCAACCACAACAACAACAGCAGCAACAACATATTGTGCAGCAAGTGGTGCAGCAGGCGCCAGCACAACAGCCTTTGAGTGTTGAGGAGAGTCTCCTGCAGAATCAGCCGCCGGGCACAGTGATCAAATGTGTGACGGCGCAAGTATTGCAAACAGAGCACGGACCGCGCATTGTGCTGCAAGGACTTGTGGGCAATGACTTTACGGCACAACAACTGCAGCTGGTGCAAGCGCAGGTGAAGCAACAGTTAATGAAAGGTAAACGCCCAGCACACTATAAATCACTCAGTTGAATAGCCTAAACTAATGTCTCTCTCTCTCTCTCTCTCTGTTCTTATCTCAGCCCAAGAATCTAATGGCAAGCTAGGCGTTTTAGGCCCCACAAAAATCTATCTGGCTGTGCAGCCAGAAACAACGGCACAATCGTCACAGCCGCCGCCTCTAACGCCCGTTCATCAAGCGGCGACCCATCAACAAGTGAGTAGCTTTTAAATGCAACAAAACAATCATATAGGGGCGAGAGAGCAAACACGCGGAACTCTTAAGCACTTAAATAAAACACGTAGGCAGCGCTTAAACCAACCAACCGACCAATCAACCCGTCGACAAATTATTCAAGACACATTGTTATATCAATTAATAATTTAAAATATAATTTTAAGTTAACATTTACCACAGAACAAAACGCATGTTGCTATGATTTGGAGTTAATTTTCATTTATTTCTACTATTTCTATCATTCTGTTCTTTTAAAATATTTAATTTAAATGCTTATTTTAATTTCTGTTTTTGGTATCCATTAAAATATTTGTTAAACATTTCTGAAATATCCTCGAAAAACAGTTTGCACATTCCACTGTGGAGTGTGAGAAAAGCGTGATTTAAGCAATTTGCCCAACAAATAGCCGAGAAGGGATTTGTTTGGTTCTACATACAAAAAGTTGCACAACTAAAAGGCTTAATTTTGCAATATAATTATTTGTCAACTAATTCTCCAACACACAGAAAACGCACATAAATACTATACACACCCACACAGACACACAGATACACTCACAAACACACCTATATATATACATGTAGAGATCATATATATATATAGAGATTCTCATTAATAAATTACAATTATGCAGTTGGCGAATATATATTCTAGAAACGTGCATTTTCTTCTTAAAATATATATACGTATTTATTTAATTTGTTTAATTTTTAGTACCTTTTTTATTATGTTTATAATTAGTAATGTAATCTTAATTTAATGCCATTTAAATATTTAGTGTTAAGTCTTTAAACAAAAAACAAAAAAGAAAAAACAAATAGCAGATAGTTTATAGATAATATTCATTCAGCATTCAATATTAGTTCGTTTAGTCCACACACCTGAGCATTTCAAATGAGTCTATTTCGTTTACCTATTCTAGCGAGCAATTTTAACAGACTGTGACCGTAATTATTAGCGACCAGGGCAAAAGTATTAGACAACAAGAAATTTCTTGCCTAGATTTTCAACAACTTTGGTTTTATAACTATCTATTTCTATCTCTATTGTCTATGTTACTTGTAATGTATGTAAAGCGCTTTTTGCAATAAACGAAATGTATTGAAATATACAAAATAACGATGACCAATCCTGTTTCTTTTCATACAATATATAGTCAAGAGTAGAACTAAAAAAAAAAAAAAAAAAATGAAACTAAAAAAAAAAAAAAATTAAATAAATATATATTTACATAGTTGTACATTTATTAATTCTAACTTCTTATATTGATAGATTCTACTGAGACACAAGATACAAAAAAAATCATAATAAATTAAATAAAACAAATACAAAGACAAATTTAACTAAAAATGGGCATAAATTAAATTCAAAATATTATTTTCCACTAAAAAAAAAAAAAAAAAAAATTTATTTATTTTAATTTTAAATATAATTTAAATTAAAATAATTTATGCATTGTAAATATTTCTTACATAAGTCAAGAAAAAAAATTGCAGCAGAAACTGTCGCCTAACTGTAAATTCGAGGCTGACCTCACACTACCTGTAAACACCTGTCACACACGCTCAAAAATGGACGTCAAAAAAGAAATCCGCGTAGCTCTATTTTACTTAAAACTATTAACTCTCTAAGGCTTTGACACTCATATATTTTCTTCATATTCTCAAAGCCCCGTTTATTTTCTCTCTATATATTACAATACTTATATCTATAAAAAAAAAAAAACACCCTAAACAAACGAAGCACAAAATAATTTTATTGAAACTGTGGTGCGTAAATTTTTGTTTCTGAGTTAGTTGGATGATTATTTGCAAATTGGCCTTTGTGTTGACAAAAAGCGCTCGCTTTCTATATATATATATGTATATATAATGTATGTATGTATGTGCATACATACATATACATATTCATATGCAGTTACTCAAAATGTATGTATGAAAAGAAATCGTTGTAATTTCCAAGTGTAAGCGAAATATATATGAAAAAAAAAAAACAAATCTCGATTTACATATGTTAAAAAAAAAAACAGAAAAAAAAACAACACTTTAATCAGATATCAGTTGAATTAGTTGACAAAACCCAGAGACCCAACTAAATTGATTGCTCCCATGGCCAAATTCAAATTTGCTTAAAAAAAATCAAATAAAACCAAATATAAATTTATATATATATATATATTATTATATATATATATAAATATTGCTGAAGAGATTAACCCACACACAGAGTTTTAGTTGGCTGACTTATAATATATATATATATATAATATATATACATTATATACATATATATATATATGTATTTAAATCGGAGGCAGTGCTGGTATTTTAATACCAAATGACAAAAAAATAAGCGACGAATTTCTACCCCTACGTCCCGCGTAAGCGCATGCAAAAAAGCTATAAAGAATATATATACATATATATAAATATATCTACAAGATACATATATATTATGTATATATATGTATATATATTTATATACGAATTAATAACACAAAGGCTTAACCATATTTGTAATCATCTCATCTAAATCGAAATAAATTTTTACACTTAAAAAAAAAGCGAAAATACCAGAGTTTCACATACACACACCCACACTAACACAGACACGCAGTCAGTCAGTCAACCAATCAATCACAGCTCATACACAAAAAGACGTTAAATAAAAGAACAAAAATAAAAACATTTTTGCCGCAATTTTCATTATAAATATTTTAAAAGCAAAGCTTTTTTTAAAGAACTAACTTTGTACCATTAAAATTCAATTTCGAATACCTTTTAAAAAAATACAAATCCATGCTGCCACTAATTAAAAAAAAAATAAATAAAATAAAAAAAAAAAAAAAAACAAATGAAAACCAAATCCAAAACGTTATCAAATGCATTGCCTTAAAAATATCCGTGTGTCAACAACTACAACTCCCAAAAAAAAAAACTGAAAAAAATCACGTGTTAATCTCTTCGTCAAACCAAACCAACTACTACAACAACATCTCAACCACAAACTCTACTACAAACCATAACAAAAATCGTAAAAAGGTTGCCTGGAATAAATACTACAACTGATCTCTGATTAAAGCCAGGTAGGTGCCTACTCATATCTACCATTTTAACATTCCTTAAGTCTCTATCAGTTGTAATCGATGTATCTATAGCTAAATAAATGTATATCTAGATCAAATTATGATTATAATTAAATTGGTGTAAATAATATATGTTATATACTATAATATACGCATAGGTTGGTGGCGTCTCAATTGTGTACGTTGTAAACTCGAATTATGTTGCGCCAGGCGGCGATCCAGCTAAGCCTGGTGGCAATGATGATGATGATGAGATTATTGTTGTATGCAGTCCGCCGCGTAAGAAGGAAAGAACTCTGCCTGCAATTTCTCCAGTAAAAGCCGAAACATCAAGCGAAACACCTATGATGTTGGCCAAGTCAAGTGAAGCGGCTAGCTCCAATGATAATGCATGCAACAGCAACAGCAACAACAACAACAAGAACAAGAACAAAAACAACAGCAAGCAGAACAGCAAGAATGATATTAGTTTTAAGTCAGAGGTGGAAAGTAAAGAGTTAACTGTAGTTAATGAACAAGCTAATCATGATCATGTGCAGAAATTGAATGAATTTGATAGTGCTAAAGCCGTCAATCGATATATATTGCAGACCAACGATAACAACACCAGCATCAACAGCAACAACAACAACAACAACGACGCCGCTGCCACCGCCACCGCGCCTACAGCTACTAATGAGGCAATCGCCCCAACCACCAACGACAGTGGTGCAGCAGCAAACAGCACAGGTGCCGTTGGCAATGGCATCGGCATCGGCCTCGACTCCTCCACTTGCCTTACCCAAGCTGATAAGCATAATAGCATCAACACAACAACAGCAACAACATCAACGACCAGTAACAGCAACAACAACAACAACAACAACAACAACGCAGTTGGAACAACTACTACGGAGGAGAACGTAGACTATGCCGTAGTGGCATCATCGGGTGATCTCTGTGCCACATCGTCGGAGCGAACCGAAGATTTTGTCGTCACCAGCGGCTATATACAAGAAAGTAAGCCAGATTATTGAATGACTTGTTTCACTATATGCATGTTATATATTAATCTATCATCTCTTGCAGCTATCACAAATGTACTCAATCAGGGCAATCTGAGTCCCGAGCTGAAAGAGAAATTGGTTAATATGCGTACGAAGCAGGAGCAGCAAAACTCTCAGAACTTGGGCGAGCGGACGCCAGCAGCAAATAAATCGAATTCGACAAATGAGTCTGCCAGCACCTCGTCTAGTCGACGACGCACTGCCTCGCGGCACAACAATAACGACGATGATGAATGGAAGGTGCGTACGCCATCCAAACGTCATCATCCCTTGCCCGCGACCAGCCAGAACAACAATAGCACAGTGAAGAGCAGTCGTAAGTCAGTGGCACCACTGGAGGATGCCGCTAACCTGAGTGAACCGAAGCAAACACAACTGGAACGCCATAAAGATCTGCTCAAGAAGAGCATCCTGCGGAAGCGTTCGCTGCTGGAGCGCAATCTGCAAAATGAGATCCGTGAGGAAGTCGAGGCAAAGACCAATCGACATGTGCGTGCAATGAGCGCAACAACGCCAGAGAAACCCACATCCGACAATGAGCGTACGTCAGTGTTCGCTGAACGTCTGATGGATCAGAATACGGAGCACAAACGGTTAGTAGTAGTATATACATATATATGTAGTATAATTTCTATATTGACATCAAATATAATTTGTATTGCAGTCACTCGAAGCCTTCGATTGCGCGCAGTCTTGGCGCAGAGCCATCAACGTTGCACAGCCGGCACAGTGTGGGCCGACCCAAGAAGATGGCACGCAAGAAGGAGAAGCTATATTGCATATGCCGCAAGCCCTATGATGACACCAAGTAATACACAATGAATATATGCTTTTATACTATCTATATACTTATCCATCATCATTATATAATTGTAGATTCTATGTCGGTTGCGATCTGTGCAGCAATTGGTTCCATGGTGATTGCGTCAATATCACGGAGGAGGCGTCCAAAAAGCTAACGGAATTCATTTGCACCGACTGCCAGAAGGCGCGTGAGACGCAGCAACTGTACTGCAGCTGTCGGCAGCCTTACGATGAATCACAATTTTATATTTGCTGTGATAAGTGCCAGGACTGGTTCCATGGCCGTTGCGTTGGCATCGTTCAAAGCGAGGCGGAGTATATTGACGAGTATGTCTGCCCGGAGTGCCAGCGTAATTCGGATGCGAATATCGCAGATATAAAGAGCCTAACGCAGAGCGAGGTTATTGAACTCAAAAGCCTAATCAAGCAAATACAGGTAATGCGTTAATCAAACTAATAGCCAAGTTAGCTTCAAATCTCTGACGTAACAATTTTCATTTCTCTTTTGCAGTCCCACAAAAGTGCCTGGCCATTTATGGAACCGGTTGATCCGGAAGAGGCACCGGACTATTACAAAGTGATTAAGGAGCCCATGGGTATGATTTCCTATATTATTTTATCAGATTTAAAGTCTAGTCTAAAGACTTGCTTCTCTCCCGCACAGATCTCAAGCAGATGGAAACGAAACTCGAATCAAACACCTATAGTAAACTCGCCGAGTTCATTGGCGATATGACGAAAATCTTTGATAACTGCCGCTATTATAATCCCAAGGAGTCCTCGTTCTACAAGTGCGCCGAGGCACTTGAGTCGTTCTTTGTACAAAAAATCAAGAGTTTTCGAGAAAATGTTGTTGGTCAAGGCAATTAAAAGTCATTTGATTGTTCAAACAATTGCTACAAAGGTTACAATGGATTAAGTTGGGTTTAACACAACCAAAAGCAAACACAAAAAAAAAAAAAAAAATTATGATTTTAGGTAAAAATATAATAATAAATACTTTTACTAAAATTAAATTAAAATATACGTAGAGGTTAGCCTGCGCTAATATACACATTTAATTTTAAATACATATATATAGTAATATATATATATACCGTATATAAGTATAAAAGTAACTGAAGCTAATCTATAAGTAGCTGTATTCTTTTATCATCTATAAATTTAATATGAATTTCGTAATTAATTTCAAGTACTTTAAGAGTTGAATTTTATGTGAAGAACCAGAGCAGCAATCTACGTAGTTTTACCTAATGTACAGCCAAATATGAGATGTAAATAAATAATAAACATACACACACACACACACACACACGTGCATTTGTTTTGATACATATGTATGTACTAAATATAACAATCTACAATACATGTAGCATATGGTATATATATAAGATTTAATGGATTTATCACTGTATTGCCCAAATTTGTGAACGCGTAAGGCGAACTTGTATCACTGTAGGAGCAATTGTATTATATTTGTAAATAAAAAGAGATCCAAGTAAACTCAAGTTATGGTTTATGATATGGAATATATGAAATATATCAAAATTGGAAAACAAATTAATGCCTAAGGATTTGGCGATTAAAGGTCAAGGTAGGAAGATGCATACATACCTGTATATGTGTTGTATATATAGATACATATATCTGTATAAGTATTGGAAACTATAATTGAAACGTCAGCTCATTTTTCGGTTATCTCCAAGCCGGTTACGCCCGACTAGAGCCCACTTAATTGTTTTTTAGTTTTGTCATCCTCGAAGTTTTACAAATCATTAAGAGAGAGTTAAATAAGTTATAAATTAATGTATGGCAAAAAATATTAATCCAACAACTGATTCTTTTGTTTTGCATCGCATCGAGCGTTAATTTGCATTTGGCTTTTCGTGCAGCCACGGACGGAATATGGGCAATGTCGAAGGATAATGTGTGTCCGGCTTTAGGACGGATTCGGGCCAAGTGTTGGACACATCATTGGCATTATTGCGGAACGGATATGTGGCCAAGACGATTGGAAGTTGCAATTTGATTTCCTTTTCCAGCGACTTCGGCTCGATGACGAAGAAGACATCGTATGTGATTTTGATCAGATGGCAGCCATGCAGATTCGTTGGTGGCAACGGCGGCACATAGAGGCTATCATTGTGCCATTCGTCCTTGCCGCCAGGACGTATCTTGCCACGCACCAGCACGGCCAGAGCGCGCTTCTCCGTCTGAACTGTCTTGCCGCGTGCCAAGTACTCAATGGTCTATAAGGCCGTATTGAATTAGCTTGGATCGAACTTTAAATTATCCTCAACTTACCTCAGTTAGTGATGCCTTGGTTCGTTTTATGGTTACATTGCTAGCATTGGATATGAAGGCTGTGACGAGTATATTCTCGCCGGGCACATAGCCTCCGCGATCCAAGACCACACGGCATTTGATCTGACCACCACCCACACAGGCAACCACGCCCAGTTTGTGTTCCACCTCGCAAGTGAAGGGTTGCTGTTGAGGAATTTGAAGCAAACATTAGCTTAGCTTTTCTGGCATTCCGATATATTTACCGATAGTATTGGTTTCTCCAGGTTCAAGTCAATGGGATTCATAACAATAAACACTTGATGGTTCTTGTGTGTCAGACCTTTGGGTTCACGCAAGGCTGCAGTGCAATAATATTGTATCCAGCCGAAGCTGCCCAGGAATGTGGAGGGCAGGCCAATGGGCAGCCCCAACTTGAAGGGAAAACTATGTATGCCAGGCGATAGTATCGCAGGACCCTGATCCACATCGCCCAGCAAACGCATGCGAAAATCTATGTAATTCTCTTTGTCGTAAGTGCGCTCCTGTCGCCCCCCAGCACGCACCACGCCCTCACCCACCACATGGAAGTGCAGACCCAGAGCTGGAGTCTCATCTTGTAGTTCTATGAGCACGCGTCCCGATAGAAACTGACCCGGAAAGTACAGCAGCGACGAATTATCGAATATAATGAGAAATTTCAGTAATTTTCGAGGCATATTTCGGCAGCTTCAATAGTTCAGAGATACGTTTACGACCTTGAAATACCTGTTGTATGTAGGTAGAAAAAAACAACTTTGAATTAGCATTGTTTAGTAAAAGCTTAAATGTTTTTTTTTTTTTTCAAATATATATTATATATATGTATCTAATGAACTCATTGTGTCTGAGAGAAATTTCGAATTAGTTTTATAATTGCCATTAAATGATGCAAAAAATCAACGCAATTAAAGCTTTTCCCTTTTTAAATGTCGCTGCAAATTGTGCTTCATTATACACACACACACTCACACATACCCACACGCGACATATACTTATATATGTACATATATATACATATTTTCGTTTGAACAATCCGCTTGTGGCTTTATAAACGTGGGTGCAACGCCAAAATGCTTATATACTCGCACAACATCCGAATCCACTCATATACTCATTGACGTTTTGTTTGAATACCTCTCGTACCTAGCCTCGTACGTTGCGCTATTTATTGCTTTATGTATTTTTCTTGCTCGTTTATATTTTTTTATTGTTGCTGCTGCTGCTTCTTCTTCTTTATTTTTAAACTATCTCAGCTGCGCAAGCGCTTTGGGCCCGCTCCAACAAGTTAACAGCGCGCACACTGACGATTGCTTAACAACTAAAGCTGTTACGATTTTCAGCTAGCTTAGTCGACTCGGCTTCAATTCTAGAGATGGCACAGAGGTTCGTGTTTACTCAAGCGAGCAGTGGAAGCTAATGACGTAGGTTGGATGACCTTTAGTCAAAGTAGATGGTAAACAAATATGTGAAACTGCAAACCAACTACGCCTTTTATTTCCTAAAATATGTACTAACGAAATAAAAATGTAATATATATGTAAATGATCATTAATTCAAATTTTAAGGTATCATGTACGTATATACAGAAAGTTAATTATATTATTATTATATTAAACTATTTTTGAAAAATGAATTAAAAATCAAATTAAAATTATAGTTACTATATATTGAAATAGCTTTGTTTTTATTGTATAAATATGTATTTAATAAACAATCATTTTGCTACTACATACGTGCTTTACCAGAGCTTAAATACTTCTCATTTGCACATCTCTATTCAAGCTCTCTTCTAACTACACACATTCAGGCTTATATATGCCTGTTGCGTTGACGCTGAGTCAAAATACAGGTTTTCAATGCGCAGAGCGTGTGAGAGAGCAGAGAGCAGAGGTGAAATACGCTTGACTCTAATAGCGTAAGCTAGTTGCACTCAGCGTGGTGAATTAAGAGGTGAATATAAGGCAAGATTCAAATTATTAGGCTACCATGATCAGTGTATAAAAGAGCTTTGTATTTTATAATACAATGTTTATTTTTGTACATAAATAAATGTAATATATTTTTAAATAATATTGTTATTTAAATGTGCTCATTAAAAAAAAAAGTAATTTTATAAAAAAATATATTTATTATAATTATAATTTACATATATGTAGATTTTTAGTTTAAAAAATTACATTAAAATAATTTAATTATAAATATCAACATAAATGATCAATTATTGAAATCAGTTTGCTTTAAACTTTTAACCGCGATTGTGAGCTTTTGAAGTCAACTTCTCAAGTTATTACAATTTTGGGTAACTATTGCGATAGTTACAACCACTAAACTGAAAGTGAAAGGTTAAAAAGCGTAACAAAAACAAACCTGTAGACATGATAAAATAACAACTTTTTGCAAGTGTAAGCAATGCGAACGAGGAGGAGGTGGAGGAGGAGGACGACGACGTCACGTTTTAAACGGACTAAACCAGACTTAGCGACAGCAGTTGAATAACTTTGGCAAAGTGTTGCATAGTGCCAAACTCGTTAGATGCAAACGGGTGTGCTACACTTAAGAGCTTTTGGTAATTGTCTTTTTTTTATTCACTATTTATACACCTGAATCTGTAGTTTCATAATACTTCGCAGCAGAGACAAACAAACAAACAATCGACTGCTACAAACGCATATAATTTATGCGGCATCGAGTCTAGATCGTTAAGATCAAAGAGAGCAGAATAACCAAAACTTTAAAGTTGCGAGTGTGTTTAGCTATGTTGTTCATGTCTGACAGACTGTAATGGGAGCGAATTTAAAGAGGCACACTAATTTAATGTCTTTGTACGTGTGTGTGTGAGTGTGCCAGCTGAAGTGCTTGAGTCTGAGTCCGTTACGTTAACTAAGCTGCAAAGAGAACAGAAGTAACCGAATTTTATTTGTATTTGTGTGACACACTGTAAGAAGTCCGAAGAGTGCAGCAACACACCAACCATTGTTTACCACTGGATATTAATGCGAGTGTGTGTGAGTGAATGTGTCAGCTGAAGTGTTTAAGCTTAGCTCCGTTACGTTAAGCTACGACTTTGTATTAAGAGTGAAGAGAGCAGAAGTAAAAGAATTATTGTATTGAGTCAGCTGTGTGTATTGCAAGGAGAGCAAAGAGCGCAGCAACACACCAATTTGTGTTTAGCTCTGTATTTAATGACGTTTGTGTGTGTGTCTGTCGACACAATATTAGCTAAGTTGGTCCACTAGCAATGAATGTATTTATGTGTGTAATTATGTTTGTCTGTATGTATTTAAATAATGCACGGCTTGTGTTGAAGCTCTTCAGCGTGAAGCGTGAGTTTCTCTTCAAGCTGCACCTGAGAGCTGAAAGCTTTTTCTATATGTCGGCTTTTTCTTCGTTTTTTGGATTTTGTCTTCAGTTATAAAGACGACGCCAAAAGAGTTGGTTGGGCTTGGCGGCGGGCCAGCAAGCAGTTGTAGCAGGTGTAAATACGGGGCAAAAAAAGAAAAGCAAAAGACGATGTATGTTTATCTATAAATATATAATTAAAATATAAACACCTCAAGAAATAGTGTGCTGCATTAGATCGTAACAAGTTTTTAATGACTGTCAGTGAAATAATTGGTGAAAACATGAAATCAGAAGTCGAAAACAACAATAAACAGTGCCATCAGAACAAGTCCAACAACAACAGTAAACAGCAACCATAACAAGCGCTTTGAAGCGTGTAGTTTTTGGCTTTAGTTTTTTGTGTGTGTTAGCTTAAGAAATAAGAACCGTTATAATTGCCACTTTTATGTAAATCGAAAGAAGTAGTTATGCTCGTTCGTTCCAATGAAATGAAAGGAGCAGATGGATGTTGTGTAATGTTAATATTAATGTTTAGTGGCCTCTTTTTTTCGGAGATTGTTCGAATGCTGTACGCCTATTGTGGGCGTGGTAAATGTAGAAAAAGAAGCTGTAACTGTGGATTCTCCAAGAATTATGGAGTTTATTGTTTACGAAATGAAAGGAATTTATGGACTTTGAATCGTAGAGATTGTTCATTGATATTATATATTCATATACGCCATTGGGGGCGCGGCAAAAGTGAATAAAGAAACTGTTAAGTGGTCTGTTTAAGAGTTTTGGAAAGAAATATATGATTTGTATGTAATCTATATTGGACTCTTGAAGATTGTTTGGCTATTATACATAAATGATTTTTGTATGCGTAAAATGTAGGCAATCTGATAGAACGAATTGTTGAATTGTTCAGTTCTACTTATAGATCTACAAAAAAAATACCCAAATTACATAAAATCGCTTATCGACTCATGGGAAGTTAGAAAATGTAATTTTAGTCATTAATGCCGTGAGCGAGTATCCCACAGTCAGTACCACCCGCCTCGACTACCTCTCTGTGGTACTTACAATCATTTCCAAATTATATTCTCTGAACAATGTTTGTTAGTTAAGCTTCACGCGTACTTTACAATGCTACGATGTAACTTTCTAAACCCAAGCTAGATTCCACGCTCTCAACGTGATTTGGCCATTACAAGTGGAAGCCAAAGATTTGTCTACACTTGATAGTTGTGCTGGCCGGCCAATGATCAATTCGTATTATGAATGCGATAAATTACTTTGGTCATTTTAGTGCTTCCATTTTAAATGCCAAACAAACTTCGTTTTGGGTGTGGTAAACCTGCTGGTGCTGCTGCTGTTGTCTGGTTACTAACGAGCCGTAGCATGGCCAAAATGCCATGGTGTCGGCGATTTGTAATTCTGCTCAAGTCACAACATACACCCATTGCTAGTTATATATATGTATCTGTTTATATAGATATATAGATTTCTTCCTAGCGCTCACTTTAATTTGTAAAGTCCGAAAGCCTCTTTACTCTGTACATATGTAAAGACTGCCTGTGGTTTAGATTTATGGAGATTAGGCATAATAAAACCCTTAGGCATTTACTTTTACAACTCAATCGGGCTACAGATATTACGAAAAGTCTAATGGGAAGTAGATCCTAATTGTTTTTCCTATTTAAAGTACTTGTACAAAGAAACAGAAGGCGTTAAATAGTTTAGTATATACTTCATACATACTATATTTTATACTATATATACCATTTCAGTTCAGATCGAAATCATAAGATCGATAATAGAAATGATTCTATATTTTATTTAGTTATGTATATGCTAGTCGGAACCTTTCATTACATACTCGATTCTCGTTTTGTGCAGAGTTTTGTAAATATCACTTACATTTGGGAAATCAAACAAAGCAAAAGCAGCTCTCTTACGGAAGTATTTTTTTTTTGTTTCGCTTTGATTTGTGACTCAGCCGAGAGAAGCCAAAGGAATTAAGTCTTTGATACCTTCTACTCTCCACCTTTCCTCTGCCTTACATCCGAGTGTCTACAACAAATGGTTCAAGCATGCAATTAAGACAAACGCATTTATATGTCTTTCTTCTCTCTCTTTCTTTCCCTTCCTCCGTCTGACTCATTGCAGTGCCAACGATAATGCTGAAGCAGGATTCAGGACTTTTGAAGAAAGCGTCGGTCACAGTCGTTGCTCCAAATTCCAACTACGCAAACTTTTTCAAGCCGAACGAGAGAATTTCTTGTAATGCTGACAGTGACCCGAGCCCGGATGTGCGTAGTACTGGCGATAGCTTGATAGATCAGATTTCAGTCACAATTGACGGGGAGAAACATTGGGTCTCTGGTGTGGATGCAAGCACTACGTGTACCGATCTGATATGTGCGCTACTCAGTTACAAAGATCTCGAGGGGAAGAACAATGAACATTTACCAATATACAATACGTTATCCAACAAATCGGGTAGATCCATTCATACATCTAGCCAAAACGCAAATCACAAAGCAACAACAATAACAAATACCAAAGAAAACGAACAAACTTCTTATAGCAAGGGTCTCAATACTAACCTACATCAATACGTAATTGTTAAACGATTGCGGGACAGTCGATTCGAGGAATATTTAGATGGTAGCACTCGTCTAATGGATGTCATACCAACTGCAGATAAACTGACCAAAAATCAGGTATATATTAATGGATTTTCCCATTAAATTATTTGATATTATTGAAAATACACTATCTACCAGTGTGAGCTCCAGCTTAGGAATCTTGCATCCGATACTTCCGCGCGCTTTTGTAAACAAATGGAAAGCCAAATGTTCTCAATGCTCTCCATGTCGACCGATAAGGACAGCGGCATGGGCAGTCCCGTAGGCAGTGCGCGGAGTGAACGATATCGTAGACGTCGAGGGAAAGCACACAGAATGGGCGTTACAGAAGGCCCAGCATTACCAAAGCACACTAAACCATTGCAGCCACAGCCGTGCAATCTAAATCCAAATGAGCATTTGATGAATATTATACTGGCCCAAGACGAAACCATCAAGAGACAAATCTACCTGCTGAAGTAAGTTGGACTCTCACCCTCTTTTATTCTGGGAATATCTCTCAAAGGTCTTGTCTGTCCCTACATTCTAGCCAAAAGGAGCAACAGATCTTAAAGATTGAGGATGAAAAACACCGAGCGAGGGCACAGAAGTTGGGTAAGAACTATTTGATCGACACATATTTAAATGCATTAGGTAGAGCGTCAGATAAAGAACTAGATAGACCTGATTTGGAAGATCAATGGGAGTGCGTAACAAGCTCCCATAAGCTCAATAGCCCACATCCTGCGTGTATTCATGAAGGTAAGAACACTTTGTGAACTACAATTTATAAAATAATTTGTACATTTTATAATAGCTGTAGCAAAATAAAATTATCATATTATATAATTAATATTCACTAATTAATGTTCACTAAAATATTCATATACTATTTATAGTTGATGCCAACCAACCCGCTGAGATAGTTTCTAATATTTCGCTCGATGCGAATATTTATTGGCTGGAAAAGGTTTACACTTTAAATGTTCGACTCCAACGAGAGGAAGAGGAACTGCTCCGGCTGCACGCCAAGGTGCGTAAACATCAGATGCGACTCGCTTACCACACCAAGGACGAGGTGTTGCAGCAAATCGATAGATTGGATACGAGCTTGGCCAACCAGGTGAACGACATCTATAGGATAGAGCGTCAATTGTTAATGGCCAATGAGCAGCTGAAAGCCAAATTGGGCGTCCTCGAGAGTTTGGGTAATGAGCTGGAAGTGATGCCAGGAGTAGATCATGAAATGTCTGCTGAGACAACAGCTCTAACTCGGCAATTAAATGATGATATAATCGCACATCGGAAATCTATAGCAGAGCATTTGATACAAAATCTACAGGAAAAGGAAGGAAGACAAAATTATGTCAAAAACCTTATCAAAAATGATGCCAATGGACGCGATCAGACGGATGCCAAAATGTTAAAGAAACAGTTATTTTTCGCTGTCGATAAGCCTGAAACTTTACATCAAGAAAAACAGCCCCAGACGAGGTATACATCGCATAATGAAAGTAATAGGCTTTTGGGCTATATCGATCCTGACATTGATATAGAAAACTTTGGTACACTTGTTTAATTGATAAAAATTGGTTTTTATAATAAAGCTTTTCATTTTTATGTTAAATATGATGTATTGCAATATTGGAACAATTCGTATATGTAGTATACTATCTTAAGAACTTAAGCTGTATATAATCATTGCTCTGAGCAAATATAAAAAACAGATTCACGATCAATATCACACTTAAACAGCTCATAATACAAGTTCGTACAGTTTAGACTAATTTTTAAGGTAAATTTTTTAACATTTCGTATAAAATTGGCATAACATACAAGTGTATATGTCTGTGTGTGTCATGCATTAGAACTTATTTCGGTGAATCCCCTAACAGTTGCTTACTTTGTTTTGGATGTAGAATTGGTTCATCATCGCTCGATAAATCGGAATCACGTGTAGCTAACAGGTTCGATATATTACTAAGCTTTGAGTCCACAACAGCTGGCGGCACCGTCGGAGTTGATAGAATAGCAGCTGTAATGAGCTGAGATGTGGACGGTGCATCCAGTTCCGGCTCCTGCTCGTTGAGCAGCCCGTGATTTGCCTCTCGGCGCTTAGTGAGCACAATGGCGCCGGTGTAGAGGAGGAGAATGGGCAGCACGGCGACAACGACGACGGTCGTCAGGAACGTGGACATTTTCACTTCACGCTTGCAGCACTTTAGATCCTTGGACCATAGGACGCGCGTTTTATTCATCTAAAGGGGTTCATTTAGTGAAAGAGCAAGAAATATAGCGAAATTTAGCTTAACACTCACTATATCCTGCATGTCAAAGCACATTTTGCCATTGCTCTCCTTATCCAAATTCTTGTAAAAGTTGTTCATGTTTATATATTCAAGCAGACAGCTGGTGCACTTGCTATCTGGGTGTTCCGCCAAGCAGGTCGAGAAAATGTCATACAAACTTGTAAAGTTCCCGGAGTTGTTGTTCTTGAAGCACTCTATTCATAGATGCAGTACACAATAGATTAATCATGTAAATCATGTGAATCATATGTGGATTAGTCAGACTTACCCTCGCAATAGGCACGATCCCACAGGCTCTGCAGCATACTTTGTGTGGTTGTCAAGATATTCAGGCGATCTGCGTCTGTGTAAATTTTTGAGCAGCTTTTCATCAGATCGCTGTAAGATGTTGACATTTCGTCAAATCTTACTTTGCAGCCATTGCACAGGCGCTCGTCCTGAACAGGCAGCGCGTGCCTCGTGTTGCAGTAAACGAATTCCATTTGAGCGTTGGCCAGTTCACGCAAGAGGTCTGTACAAGTTTTGCAAAGACTTGGCGTAATTATGCAGACAATGATAATAATTATTGAAACTAAAGCCCGCATCGCTAATGTTGTTTATTGTTTCGCTGTTGATTGTTCACTAAAGAACTAGTTGGTTTATGGTCACCCAAAAATTAAAACATTATCAGTGCCATTTGAGCATAACAGCTCAACTTTTCTCTTCGTGCTCTTTGTAATGGTTACTTCTGTTATTCGCCTTTTCCTCTCTCTCTCTCTCTCTCTCTCTATCGCTCTCATTAATTTTCATACTCGATTATTCTGCATGAGTTTGCATAGATACAGTTAGTTGTGTACGAGTCGTCGGCGCATGGTGTTATCGGACGTATTGAGCGGCACCCAAAATTTCCTTTGTTCATACTTATGTATTTTAATATCCGCGACGGACGTGTATTAAGTGAATGACAAGCTCAATAATTCAAATTGTAAATTCTACAGAGCCACCAAGTATTTTTTCTGTGTTTATGAAATTTAAGCAGACCTGCCTGCTGGCCAAAGCTGCCCAGGGTTCTGCTAGCACAGTTGAACAAAATATCTGCTCAGACGACGCGCTTCTACGCATAAAAAATAAACGAGAAAAAAAGAAGAAATAATGAATTAAACCGAAACGATTTTTAACTACTATAAAAACAAACAACTGTCCGTTGGACCGACCCCTTTCGAAAACAAAATTTCAAATTGAATAATATACGTGTATGAGAATGTGTATACATAACTGTTAATTGGCAGATTTACAGATCTGGAAAGGAGTACACAAAATCGAGTTAAATATATGCGAAAGAACATGACAAAAAGGAAAAGTGTTGCTAAATAATCATGTATTGTGCATATGAATACATATACATGCATATGTGTGTGCTAAAGTGAATGCAAAACAAGCTGCAAACGTAAAGTTGTGAACGTGTGGACGCCACTCCTTTTGCGCGAAAAGAGAAAAAAATATTAAATGTAAAAAGGCGGCGTCGTCGTCGTCGTCGTCGTTGTTGTCGTCTGTGCGTGAATAGAGATTGAGCGAGAGCTGCTGCGCCGGAGTTGAACTTCGCATATGCATACATACCAACAATCGTAGTGTGTGTGAGAGTGAGTGTCGGCAAATTTCTACAGAGCAAATAGAAACACAACACACTGTGATAGGTGCGTAAAGCGAATTAGATTAACTAACAAAACTGTAGGAAATATGGCAAATATGTTATAGCGGCATTTTTCAATGATTCTCTCTTTGCTCTGCCGCCTGGCCACACTGCGCAGAAGTTGAATGCGAAAGCAAGGCAAGGCAATAATGCAAAATGCAAGCATAATAGTAAGATATTTATGGCAACTGATCGAACAGCTGGCTTGCTACCTTGGGACACCTGGCAAAAAGCTGACACATTGAATTTACAGTTGCTTGAACATAAAACATTGCTCCTTTCCCTGTGTGTCGTTACGGGTTTTGCATTCGTTTAATAACTGGTTTTTAGTTCGACTTGCGCAGTATTTGGTCAAACAGGCCAAAAACAAAATAAAAATCTCCCAAACAAGCAAAAGGCTTACCAGAGAGCGAAACCGTTGATCAACATAGCTGAGAGAATGGCAAAGAAAGACAGAAAGAGAGAGAGGGAATGACAGTCGCTAACATTGCAAAAAAAAAAAAAAAAATTGCAAAACAATAACATGAGTGTGATAATCTACAGCTTTCGCTTTTGCTGCTGTTCTTGCTGTTGTCTTAGGCTCTTGTCCGTTCTTTCTCTTGATTATACTTTGTTATCGTTCTGTTGTTTCACTGGATCTTCGTGCTGTTCTGCTTGTTTATCGCGCTTCTGGTGGCTGCCTACGATTTATGCAAATGTGCAAAAGACTCCAATTACATTTATAGTTCCGCAACAAGAATTCAACCAGCATTGTTGTGTGTGTGTGTTTGAGTATGTATGCGTGCTTGCTGTGTGGAGGCCACATTGTTGTTAGTTTTTATACTTGACATAATATTTGTATGTATGTACACGTATACAGTTCTGCATACCAATACTTACATTTTCATTTGTATGATATTGCATGCACATATGCATGCTTGTATGTAGTGTGTAAATATGCATGAATGTGTGTTTATCTGTATAGAAGTTCACATATGCATTCCCTTGCTTCCAGCGTGTCCACTTATTTAGAACTCTTCTTCTTCATTGTTTATTTTTAGTGTAGAATTCTGGTTACAAAACATATTAATTTCATTGCCTCCATTTCAAAGTCGCTCTCTCTGTTGTTGTTGCTGCTGCTTTTGCTATTATTGTTTTTGAGGTTTTTTTGTTGTTGCGTCTTCTTTGTCTTGCCGAAGCAGAAACAGTTGCGACGTCGTTGTCAGCAGCAGCCACTGCCACTGTATTGTTTTTATTGCCTTCTCCGCCTCTCTCCCTCTCGTCCACGCTTGCTATCCCCCAAAAAGTTATTGTGGGCCTGAGGTTACTGCTAGGCTGGGGTCTTACCGCTTGTACATCGAGTCGCTGGTGGTGCTTATTGTATTTTATAAATATTATTTATTTATAAATAACCGTTGCCTTGCAGTTCGCTTGTAGAATCTGTGATTTTTTTTTCTTGTCTCTTAATTTGTCGCCAGCTTTTAAGTGTGTTAATCGCCTACGCTTGCGCCCATTAATTAGTCAAATGCGACTCACAACTAATTGCAAATTACTCTTAATTAACGCGTGCCCGAAAACGCTGGAAAAAATGCAAATATAAACTTGGCTTTTGCATAAATAAATAAAATTAATACACCACAAATTTCGTAAATTTAGCAGAGATATTTCGATGAATAGGAGAAAGAAGAAGATAGAGAATTCAAGAAAAATTATAGATGACGGATAAGAGCAGATAGAAGTAAGTAAAGAAAGAAAAGATGTACATAGTTTTGTCATATCAGATCTCTGCATGGAATAGAATATAGAAGAAGATGTGATAGAAGACAGATGGAAATTGACTAACTTAAGGAAAGAGAACGAGGACATATTGTACTGTGACTTACACTGATACAAATTGAAAACTCGTTTCGGCGGGTAATCAAATAAATTTCAATTAGTTTGAATGTTGGTAGGAAATCGTTGCCCGCCCATATAAGCTAGACAATAGTTTTTCCATTGTCAACAAAAGTCGACAAATATTGACTTAATCAGAGATAACGGTTTTGTGCAAAAGTCTACAAATCGGGTTAATAATTTTGTTGTATATAAAAAAAAAATAATAATAATAAATTGTTGTGGGTAGGGCATGCAATCGTTCACTTGGCTGACCCTGCGGGGCTAACGACAAGGGCAGGGGCATGGGACATGGGGCCAGGTGTTGGGGTAGAGGTGCCTACTCGCTCTTGCTAGCATGTAACGGCTGTTTCGAGTGCTTCAACCTTTCTTGATGCTGTGCTTAGACAATGCACTACTGTCCACTTTTTGCAGTCGCCCATTGAAATTGAATGAGGCAAGATTAAGCAACTGTGGCATCAGCAGCAGCAGCAGCAGCAGCTGTTGAAACAATTGCCAACTGGCGAGAATAAGTTGCTTATTCTGTGTTCTTTTGCTGTGTGGCATTTCTTGAATGCTGCCATGCCCACACAATTAAGGGGCGGAAGAGTGGAAGGGGACAGACAACAATGCAATTGCATAATGCGCGCCCTAAGTGATGTGCTCTATGAGAAAATAGTTTCCTGAGTGTGTAAGTGCTGCTGCACTTAAAAAGTGAGGATATGACTGGGGAAATAGAGCTAATGTAGGATATTACAAAAAAAAAAAAAAAAAAAAAATGTATAAAAAAAGTAAAAATAAATAACACAAATTAATACTCATATATTTTAAGTTAAAATAGAATAAACACCTAATTTAAGGTGGGCTGACCCTATCTGTCTCCCTCAAAATTATAAATAGATTAATAAATACAAATTATGTTAGAGGACACAAAGCATATACTCACTCAGCCAATCGATAATCATTTAATTTATTAGACTACCTAAGCTAATTCAGGACAGGACAGGAAAAGCCTCAGAATTTGGGGCGGCAAACCCTTTTTCATATTTAATGGCTTTAACCCAAAAATTGTTGAAAATTGCCTATATTAGATTCGGTTGACCAGTTAATTGTGAGGTGTGCGTTCGATTGCCTTGCTTTCATTTATTAGCCCCATTTGGCAGTTGGCCAACTGATGTGTGCAAATTTATCAGTTCAAAAGGGTGCAAAGTGCGTGTCTGGATGTGAGCCTAGGCAATGTTCCGGGAAGTTCACACAGAGCTTTTGCTTTATTGAATTTCATATATTAAATGCAACAAACAGAGCGAGAGAAAGAGAGAGCGACAAACAGAACTAAAAGACAAAGACAGAGAGAGAGAGAGAGAGAGAGAGAGAGACAGTGAGAGAGCGAGAGGCTGTGCAGGAGAGAAGGTTTGTCGCTGGAGTAGACTCGCCTGGAGCGCTTCGCCGGTTACATAATGACAAAAAACGTTGCTCATGACATTCCGTTGCGCATGGTTGGGCATGAGTGGATTCGGAATCCCGCAAGGGGGCGCTCTGCGGTGGGCGGTGGGCTGTGGGCGGTGCTAGATGGGAGGGCATTGTGTTGCTGTTAAACTTTGTCTACCTTACTACCATTGTAGTTGCTACGTTGTTCGATTTTTCAACATTTGCCGAGTTGCTTTCAACGTGCTTTGCTTTTCTTTGCTTGTTGTTTTCCTTTCTTTGTTTTCTTTTCTTTGCCATGCTGTGCATCCCGTCTTAACTTTTGCATTTCTAAGGGTTGTTTCTTCTTGGCTTGGCTTCCCTTTGCATTTTTTGTATGCACTTCGTGCGTTTTTTAAGTTTAGTGCAGCTTCGGCAAAGTACAGTAAAACGCAGCGGACGAATAGCGTAAAGTGTGAAGTGTGTGTGTGTGTGTGTGCTTAAGGTTGACTCAACTTTGCACTCGCCATCCTCCATCCCTCCACCTATAACTCCTCCGGCTGCACTGCATTTGGCACGTTCGCCAGCATCCACAAAGACTTAAAGGCAATTTATATGCTTACACTGAGAAAAAATCATGTTTCATTCAACTGAATCTCCCCCCTTTCTCTGCTGCTCTCTCTCTCTCTCTCTCTCTCTCTCTCTCTCTCTCTCTCTCTCTCTCTCTCTCTCTCTCTCTCTCTCTCTTTGTATTATATCTTTAACAATTACGACTTAATTTAATTGTATAATTATTTTAATTGCAAGCGAAGATTCACGCTTTGCACAGCTTCGTTGCATAGAGAATGATTTTTAGCACTGATTAGACTCTCAATAGCTCTTTGTTTGTTGACAAGCTAATTAACAAGCACCGAAAACTAGGAAGATTAATTTCTATTACTATGAACTTGGACTATATATATATTATTGATAAGGTAGAGGCGTACGACAGCTGTCTGAGTCATGGAATCTAAAATTGATTGTGATTGTCAGCCAAGGCAGACATCGTGGCTATCACGCGGCTACCGTTTGAATTTCTGTATACCCTGTAAAAATAGTTTGGCGTATATATAGTTTTTGTAAAGTTCCCTAATAGAATGAACACTAAATACTAGTCAGATAATATAATGATGTAACTTCAAGGAGGTATATGGACTCAAAACTAAATGAGTCTAGCTATATATTGGAACATATTCATTCCATAAAGCTAATATACTCCTTTCAGCTCATGAATGAGTATTACCATTATTGATACAGATATTTTAAGGTTAGTTGAGTTCCCCGTTGGCCAAAGTTATTTTCAACCCGTTCGAGCAATTACAAACTAACAAGATGGATTTATGTTCTTATAATCGATTCCCAAATCAAATTGCAATTTGCCACAGTAAACGAGAAGATGAGAAAATATTGATTTTTAATTTTTTCGTGATTTTCGTTGTTTTTTAATGTTGTTATTCTTGATTGCTGCTCGCAGCGTATCAATCGAATATAAATGCTTTAATGTAATTTGCTTAAAATTGCTTTTCGACATTGTCACGCTCTCACTTCGGATAGAGCAGAGAGTGGAAGCGACTCTCGACTCTCAACTCTGTCAACTGTCAGCTGTCAACTGTCGCCTCTCGGCACGGCTTGAGTTGGCCACTTTTCGCTTTCGATTTTAAATTGTTACCAAATATGATCCGGCTTAGTAATATATATAGTTTCATACAGTTAATCGGATCTGGGGCGGTGTAGAGTGTTTAAAGATGATAACGGAATACCTGAATGATAATTGATACAGATTTCAATCCATTTTCGCATTCCTGAATGATAATTGATACAGATTTCAATCCATTTTCGCATTCCTTTGTTAATTCTTCTGATGAATCTAATATGAAAAAGCATTGCAGTCGGGCCTACACGACTGAAGTATACTCATTCATAGTCTAAGGAAAGATAATGTAAATTTATATATGTTCTATATGGAGTCTCACATTTTCTAACTTAATCCAGAGTAGACAGAGAATAATTTGAGCATTGCCTTAAAATTAATATACTCCTTTCACTTTCTGAACGAGCATAAAAATCTCAGAGCGTCGATAATCGATTGTCAGTGACGGATCTGTTGGTTGGAAAGCGTATATCCGCATTTTTGCAAAGTCGATTGACTTGTCTGGCCGAGCTCAACTGAAGCTCCTTCTTGTGTCCGCTTTCGTGGCCGGCGCTCCCAGGGGAGCCAACAGAAAGCGGTGGAAGAAGTCCTATTAGTGTCAGGTTCATTGCCAGCCATGCAACTCAACTGAACGGCTGAACCGCCATTGAAGCCGCAAGTCAACTAGGTCTAAGTCGGCATTTAAGTAGAGAAGTCGTGCAGTAATACTTAACTAAGCAAATTTTTAATGTTACTCACATTCCATTTAGTCTTAGCCGTGAGGCTTGCAATTAGGAAAAAAAACCTCAAGTAAAAACAAATTATATTATATAGAAATTTATAAGTTAATGAGAAATTGTTAGCTCATTTCCATTAAAAACTAGGGTACTTTGAAGAAAAATATATTAAAAATATATCTATTTAGAAATTCTAAATCAATTGGAAATTTCCATTAATTTTTAGCTCTTCTATAATATATTAATTGTATTACTTTTCTTAATTTACAAACCAATTTGTAGTTCATTATTTAACTATTCACAGTTAATTTAAATGAAAATGCTGCCACGCCCACATTTAGTAAAACGTTTACATGGTACAGCGCGCAGCCAATTTATGTTATGATAAAACCTCAAATAGATATATGTATGCAGCGCGGTCTAAACGGTGTAATTAATGTGAAATATCGTGAGCTCGTTCAGGTGTGCAGCATGTGGTAGAAGACAAACGAAATATGATAGCCAGAAAAAGAGAGAGAGACGGAAAGAGAGAGAGACAGAGAGAGAGACAGAGAGAGAGAGAATTAGATGATGAACGATATGAGTTAATGAAATATGTTCTGCAAAAGTAGATCAAGTTCATTAGACTGTAGACTGAATTCTAGATATAAAATCATAATCAATTCTAATAGATGGTAATTAAGCTGTTAATCACTCAGAATCAACAACATAATAATTGCCTTTTAAGCAAATGTCTAATCATTGTCTATAAGGTAAAGAGAACGCCTTTCCACTCTGTTGACCCGCTTTGGTGTTTGATTGCAACACAGATACGCTAAATGACATTGCGACGCAACATAATGTGTTGATTGCTTTGTATTATGGGTTACAATCGAAATGTTGTTGCTATTGCTGATGATTCGATGATATAAAACTAACTCTGGGCAATTCGCTGAAGAGTTTCACATGAAGGCCGCTGGCGAATTCATTGAGTGTGGGATTTGGAAATGTCTACTTTTGATGTATTTTGTTTTTCTGTTGTCTTCGCTTTGCTTTGCACTAGGCAAACATGTTGAAGTTTCTCGCTGTTTTTTATAATGGCCATAAAAAAGTATGTAATTCGGGGTTGACTCCACTTGCGACGATACGATAGGGCCTTCCGACTGATAAATCTTGTAAATTACATTGAGCATTTCATGTTCAGGTGTGCTATGTGTGTGGCTCTTCTGTCGCTTCTTGGCTCTTTAGTTCTGTTCTAGTTGTTGGCCACATGGTCACGTTGTCTTTTTATGGCATCGCCAGTTGACCCAAGCGAACAGCTTGTTCCTGACCTTTTATGGTGCTGTCTGTAGATAGCAAGACGAAACTAAAAACGGAAGATGATGCCAAGACAGGTTTTGGAGCTCGGTAACGCTAACTCTACCAACTCTAATCAGAGCAGAGTTTCTATACATCATATATATATCACTAAAATAATGCTTATAGTTAAGCCGAAATTCATGCGACTTCCTCAATGTTAGTGTATTGACTTTTGTTTTCATTTCTGAAGGCTATTGGAATTTGTGGCCATTTGTTGCTATTATTTTTGTTTCTCTTTACTTATTTGTTGCTATTATTTTTCTTATTGGAAGGCTTTCAGTTGAGGCGTCAACGCGTTTTGTATAAAAATTTGCAGCACTTTCTCTCTCGCCGCTGTGGGTCTCTGTGGGTCTCTGTGGGCGCCGCCTTGAGCATTCAACCTCTGATCGCGTTGCTTCATAGAGCCAAAGCAACGCGACTTGAACAAATGGAACTAATGGCTTCCGTTTGGAATACTTTAAGAGCCAAGTCAAGACGAATGAGCCAAAAAAATAAAATAAAATAAAATAAAAACAAAAAAACCAACTCATTTTGACTGCCTTTTTTGGTGTTGCTTCGATAGGCGCACAGAAATAATGTGGCAATTCTGTTGAGAGTTCGTTTTCAGCTAGGCGAGGTTCAATGAACCGCGAGCTAAGTTTTCTTCAACTGCAAGCAAAAATTTAATTTTGTATCTTTTTTTCTGATTTTTTTTTTTTTGCAGAAATTTGCATTTACTACAAACAAAATGCTTGGCACGGCGGTTGCTTGATTAGCAAACAGCAAAAAATACGAAAGAACAACAACAACAACAACGAAAACGACGCTCTCCACGCTTGAGTGCCATCAGTTGAGAGGAGTAGGTGGGCAGCACCAACGACAGCAGTAGCAACAACTATCAACACCTGGAATTAACACAGCCAAACACAATTGCAATGCCAAAACTTTCGACGGTAGTTAGCGCTTAGCTGCCCCAAAAAAAAAAAAAAAAAAAAAAAAAAAAAAAGTCAATTCCAAAGCTAAAAACTACAGCCAACAAACTTAGGACAAGGAAACTAAGACAGGTAAGCAAGTTTGCAAGCATAAAGATTAGCTAAGATAAGACAGAGAGGCAAGTCGAAATGAGAATTCATTAATATAGATCTTTGATTGAGTTCTATAAGTCTGAAAAATGACTTGAGGGCGTGCCTTGGCACAGGAATTTGCAATTTGAATGCCTTATCGAAGAGCAGGAAATGAAAATCAATAAGCCTGTTTCATTATTAAGTTTTTTTGATTTCAATATGTCTAGCCAAGACAAGGCTTTATTAGCATTCTCTTCATGTCTAGAAAGGAGACGTAGTCAAAGGCTTCTGCTAGTATCATCATCTCGCTTGATCTTAGTGTTATTTCACATTTATTCTCAATATCTAGGCAGGCGTTATTAAGTAGTGATAAGGCAAACAAACCAGTCAACAATTAGAAAACAACAGCACAACCAGAAAGTAGACAGTAAGTGAAACGAAATTCAAACCCACATGGAACAAACAAAAAACAACGATAAGCAGCCAGAGAACAGAGTGTGGTGCTGTGCTTGGGGCTTGCTCAAGCGCCAGCCTAATGACAATTGTAGTGCAAAGAATGTTGAGGGACTACCACAAGGCAACGGCAAGCCCAAGGAGTTTATCATTACGGGCGGCAATAAGCCACAACTCAAGATTGTTCACATTTCGCCCACCGAGGGCAATGCCTTTCCGCATGAGTGCAGCCATCAGTTGCCCGGAATGGGGATACACAATGTTGCGTTGAGTTCGGACAATAATTGCATCTCGGCCGTCTCAATGGACGGCAATTTGATGCTGGTGAATGTTATGGGCGGCATACGCTTGCCCCGGGTCACGCACTGTCACGTTAGTAATATCTGGTCAACGGCTTTCAGTCGCAATCCCGACTGTGTCTATGCGGGCTCGGGAAGCGGACATATTTTTAAGTACGACACCACGTTGGGTAAACTACAGTACAGCTATGACACGGATCGCTGCGAGAATATACTGGGCCTGGCCATCAGTGGGGATCAGCGCTTGGTGGGCGCCACCGACTACGAGGGCAATTTCACGCTGATCGATGGCTGCACGGGGAAAGTGCTGCGTCGTCGCAACTATACGAAGCCACTGCGCCGATTAGTCTACGATCAGCTCATGCGATATGCCTTGGCTGCCTGCGATGATAAGACGATCAAGTTAATTGATTTGCCCAGCGGCAGACTGCGCGAGACTCTGCCGGCACACGATGCGATTGTGATGTCGGTGGATGTCTCGCAGGATGGTTTGCGTTTCGTGAGCGGCGCCTTCGATGGCTCCATCAAGGTGTGGGACGTACGGACGACAAAGAGCGCGCTCTGCTTTCAGTGCAACCACAACAAGAATCTATGGGACGTGGCCTTCAACAAGCTGAGCAACAAGATCAGCGTAGTCGGCGACGGCAAGGGCCTCGGCGTTTACTACTGTTTAGGTAATAGGGAGATGATGCTTGTCTAGAGAGATATCTGTTTATTTATTTGTTTCTTGTGAAATTAAAAAAAAATCAAATAAAAAAATTTAAATGTGTTAAAGTTGTAAAGCAAATCAAATCCGATTGCTATTTAATGCATTTATAAACAGTTAACAGTAACAGTAACAGTTGACAGTTAACAGTTAATAGCTGACAGTGTCTGTGCTAATGAATTCCAGTTTTATAAGTCGGACTACTGCACGTTATCCAGCATGTGGCATCTGTTGTACGCCTTCTATTGCATCGACTATTTCAATTAGGCAGCAGCGTCGCATCCTTTGATTCGTTCGTGATTTGCGGTCATATTTATGATATTGCGTTGGCAGCTGCCAGCCAGGCGAGATTAATGACTTCAATTGGCAAGTTGGCAAGTTGGCCCCATCCATGACGGGCTGTAGGCCGCGACACACAAACTCCTCGCATTGCCGCTCGTGGCCAAAACCACAAAGTAGAACCCACTTGCACAGACTTGCCAACTCGTTTTCCCACCATTAAATTGGCATAATTTGTCGAACAAGAACAGTCGACAACAGCGAAGGTAACTTGCTATACCCATGGAAAGAGCGAATTTCGGGTATATTGAGCAGTATAGAGATGAGGTATATAGAGAGTGTATGTATATACATATACTGAATCTGGCTGAGTAACCGACTCGAGTTAGCCTCGTTTCAGTCTAGACTCTAATATAAATCCTTAAATTATGTGTCAAAGTTCAGGGTATATATTAGTCGGACACTCCCTTTTAGAACACTCATACTAGTTTATTCCATGGCTGTTACTGTTGCTGTTGTTGTTGTTGTTGTTGTTGTCTTTGTTGTGTATCAAAAAACACTTTTTGAATTGTGAATTCTGTGAATTGTTTTGCTGTTTTTGCCGTTGCCGTTGCCTACGCGAAAATTCTTTTAAGTTGGTATCTCGAAACTCGAATGCAATCAGTAACACAGAAAACAATAGACCAACGTCAAATGAAGTCTGATGAAATCCTGGGAGCGTTGAATAGTTGGAATGTAGTTGTAATAAAAGAAAAGAAATATAAATTCTTATGTTAAATATGAATGTCAATTAGAGTTAGATGTGGACTAGTTAGAGATTTGCAATTGGAGCACAAAAGATATATTACGAGTACATAAACTACCTTAGTAGTTGATTTGTGTAATCCAAATAAGAAATATAAATTCTTATGTATACTATGAATGCCAACTAGATAAAGATATATACTAGTTGCTGATTTACATTGCAACATATTCCAATTGGATAAATACAGAGACTGCTTTGATAGTTAACATCGTTAAAATAGTTATATCATTACACAACTTGCATTTGGATATATTTCTAATTTGATATATAGACTATATACTTGAAATTTATAGTATAGAAAATAAATAAATATATGTGTATATTCCAATTAGAGCCTATAGGCTATATTCACAGTTGAAATTTATAATACAAGAAAATATATAAATAATATAAAATCCTATTTACCATATAAAAGCGTATATAGATATATAATAAGTGTATATATTCTATTTATATAGACTTTCTTGAAACTCGCATTTTCTTTGGGTGCTTCTTGTTCTCCCAATCGTCTTACACAAGTCGAGTTTCCCTCTCGTGCGAACGTCTCGCATTGCTTCTGTGGCAAGCACTGGAGCTTAACTTTTTGCTACCTCACTAATTGCAGTCAATCTCTATGGCAACTGCTCGCTCGTACAGCTCCTACGGCTCCTACAGCTTGTTGGACCTGTGGCAATCTATCGTCAATCTAACAGACAGCGAGCTGGGAGCTATTGTTCATTGTTGACATTGTTTTTCTTTTAGCTTGACACAATTATATCATACGATATTGTGTGCTGTTGTTGTTGTTGTTGTTGTAGCTGTTGCTGTTGTTATTTCTTGTAATTGCTGTCAGAGATGGCGGCACGTGTTGCCTTGAAGTTTTGCGCTGCTTTTCTTTGCCTATCCTTGAGCATTGTCGAATCTAACGAGCGCAATTCCAGCGTTTCCCTCACTAATTAACATTTATGCAAATATTTGGCATTGGCATTAGCATTAGTATTAGTATTACTGCAAATTATTATGGCTCGTTAATTGCAGTGCTCCACAATTGATTGAGCGCAAATTATGAGTAATTTGATATATTTGAATTGGACTCAATATTAATGACCGACAATGCCATTATTTGGGTTTCGTTTCTTTGCATTGCAGCATTTCCTTGTGGCAAACGCGTCGTATACGTGATATTTGAAATGCAGCCACCGCAGCACGTTTTATCAGCTGTGCTTATCACTTATCACGCGCTTTCCTGCATTGTACTAACTAGCATAGCATATAATATAGTCAGTCTAAGCAGATCACAGACTATTTTTATCTCAGCTCTGCTTAGTTTTATCTTGTTCATGGCCGCAAATGCCGTAACAACTTTAGCTGCAGATTAGATAAACGCAGCGCTGCTCGTGTCAGTCTCAATGTGTCTTTATGTGTGTGTGTGTGTGTGTAAGCGTGTGTGTGTGTGTGTGCTTTGGTCTATATTTCTTTGTTCTCTTGCATTGTAATAAGTTATGTGGCCCAACTTTGTCTGCGCTTCCATATAGTGCACAATTCCGTGCATTGTGTCTGTGTCGTGTCGTGTCGTGTCTGTCTGTCTGTCTGTCCGCTATCTGTGCCATTTGTTTGCCTCTCTCCGTCATTTATTGTTGCAGTCTTATTGACTTTCTGATAATTTTGTCATAAAACAAATATACAAGTCAAAAACAAGTGACTCCAATTTGTTGTGTACACAATATTCATTGTTCATTATTCATTATTCATCATGCATTGTGCTCAACTAGTTTGCTCAACTTGTTTAAATTAGAGCTTGCTGTGGCTCTTGTATAATGGGATTGCTCAGCATTTTATTTTTATTGAAAATCCGAATTTGATAACTCTTTCGATGAACCTCTTTTATTTGCTACTTCATCACGCAGTTAAAGGAGTATATAGGCTTTGTGTAATGGACACATTGTTGGGTGTCCCTCTGTTTCTTTGTCTGTCGACGCTATTGAAGCCAGACAAGCTGTACATTGGGACCCTCATCATGTAACGGATCGCGAACAAGTATTAGGCAGTCAGCGATAACTGCTCGCCACATACTCATTTGTTTTTATTTTGAGTGATTACTCACACTCTGGCAATCGCTGTAGCGTACTCTAAGACTCGCTTCGGCACATCTATAAATTAATGCCCATACGCTGGGTGTACCGATAACAATTACCTTTACCCTATCAGTGGAGGCAAAAAAAAAAAAAAAAAAAAAAAAATATACAGAAAAAAAAAAAAAAAAGTAAATAGCTTTCAATGTCGATGCAAAAATATTTGCTTTTGCCTATACACACCTCACACTCTCGCTCTCTTTCTGTTTCAGTTCGCTCTACCTCTCTCTGCCTCGCTCTTTCTCTCTCTCTCTTTGACCTTAGCTAGCTGGCAATGCCTTTTAAGCAATCTTTAACACATTTGGGCTTAGTTTGCTAGTAGACGTTGCCAAAGACTTTCACAAGCGGTGCTTAGCAGTCGATCAGACCCATCCAGAGAAACTGAATTGGCTAATAAAGAAAAGCCCATAGCAATAGTGAATATAGTATTCAATTATATTGAAAGCAGAAAGTGAAAAGTGTAACGAAAGCTAAAGCAAAGGTGCAATAATGGCACAGGTAACGCTCACAATTTTGTCACATAAGCCAAACTATTTTTTGGTATCAATTAATTAGTCATAGCCGAAGTAAATATATTTCATTTTAACTTTTGCCATATTATCAAATTTTTTTTCAATTATTTGTAGATTCAATTATATGTATATACAATTTTAAACAATAATATTATTTATTTTATTATTTTATTTCTATTTATTTCTCTAAACCATGATATTAGTCATCATGTTAAATAAAATAATATTTATAGTTATTTCAATGTTAATTTTCTTATCTACCTTTTTGCATTTTAGCATTTCATATTTTTTAGACTTTATATGTATTTTTTTAGACCCAATTTAGACAAGTTTCTGTTTACAATATTAATTTCAGTTTATATCTACATAGTTTCTAGGTTACATTATTCATTTACTATTTTTAGACCAAGTATGAACATTAAATTTTAGATCCAATATAGCAATGTTTACTACATATACATATGTATATCTAATCTATAGTAAAATAACTGTAATTACTCATAGCTCAATTTAAACATTATCTAATTTGCTATTTTCGATTGCCTCTTTTTAGATCCACCATGGAGAAGCCCATGCAGCATGCGCCCGCTCCCGTTGGGAAAGTCTCTCAGATTGCCAACATATTCCAGCGGAAACCCATTGAGATTCAGCCGGTCGAGCAGCTGAGCGCCGTTGCAGCGGCTCACGCAGCGGCCGCCGCTGCAGCTGCGGCTAATCCAACATCAAATGTGCGCACCGAATCCCACTCGGCCAGATTCAACAATGCTCGCGCGCTCTTCGAGAAGCTGGGCGTAGAGTCTAATACGAACGTGAGCTCACGGCTCATGCGCAGCAATTCACGTGAGGATAATCTGTACGAAGGCTCTGATCGCTCCTCGTCGCGCTCCTCGGACCGTTCACAGTCGCCGCCGAAGCGACGCATGCCATTCCCATCTGGCGCCAGCCTCAATCAGGGCAACAATATTTCACAAAACTGTGTGGATCGCTTGAATAACAGTAAATTTATTGTGGACCCCACGCCAGTGGCCAAATATCCACAGCACAATCTTGCGCGACTGAAGTCGGAGGAGCTGAACTCAGCGGCTGTGACGCCGCCGTCGAGTGGTTCGGTCAGTGCACTCTTCGCCAGCAGCGGTGGAGTGGGAGGGGCAGGCGGCGATAAGCCAGAGAAGCCCGAACGCAAATTCAATTCGAGGGAGCTCATCGAGAAGCAAAAGAAGTGGACCTCGCACTTCACCAAGACAAAGACAACGCGCACGCACAGCGATCTCAATCGTTGCGATATCA